AAAAATGTGTTTTATCCACTTGCTGAGTGCTTGCTTACTCATAAGTAATGATCGGACCGGTTTAGGTTTTCGAACAGTGAGGGGAAAAAATTTTAAAACATCACTTTTTGACTTCAATAAGAACAAAAAATATTAAAAATCTTAACTCACAATCAAAGCAATTTCCCTTAAATCATCTAAAAGTATCTCTAAAATTTTTCTTCTCTAGAAACCAGCCACAACTATTTAGCCTTTAACTGTTTGAAATCACGTCATTTTGAAAGCTTCAAACACGAAAACTTAATTTTAAAGTGATGCATCCCACCAAGCTCTATACTATACCAGATATGAATTGTCTTTAATGGCCCGCCCTACTTAACACAGCTAATTAATTTGACTAGAACCCTCTCCGTGTTCGAGAACTATAAATCCGGGTGCATTTACACCCGATCGTCACACACTGAGAGAAAATCTTAATTAAATTAGCAAACACAATGAAAGCACCTGATGGTATCAAATCCCGCTTTAGTTAAAACTGAAAAAAAAATTCATTTATGATAATCAAAACCTCGTCCGTTTCAAAATTTTACGACCATAATTAAAAATCGTCAAGCCCTGGCAATTAATCTTCACAATAAAACAACGACGAAAAAACTGCTACTGTAATTTATCATAAATTTAGGCATTTTGCATTAATTAACTTTGAAGATCGCAAAAAAAATGTATATTAGAAGGTTTTAATTAATAAAAACGTCCGTCGACTGGGCCTTAATTAACTCGGGAGGATTTTCTGGTTACACTTTAATTAGAACAGGTGGATAAATCAATACGCGACATAAATGATACAAATATTTGCCCACAAAAGACCAAACAATTCACGTGAAAGCAAATATAATAACGTTCAAAACGAAAATCTAAACCCCAGACTTATTTCGTAATAAACGTATCTAGTTACTAGGGGTTTGATCTAAAAAAAAAAGAACACGCGAAGTTTATTGACACAGTAGTGGCGAGAGAATGAGCATTTTTACTTTTGAACAATTTACAAAGCCGACGCGACGGTCAACAAAACCAACACCCAAAACAAGCTTTTCAAATAAATCATTAAAGAAAAAATCGAAGAAAATGTATTAACTCCAAAACACCAACAAAGCATTTTACATGTCGTGCAGTTTAATCGAATTAAATAAGGTTTTACTCATTTTTGAAACAAGTTGCTATCAACTTTTTGTCGATTTCTAATCCCTTATCAGAGTCCCTTGCGAGAAGGTCGAGCCGTATCCCAAAATTACCCTCGCCAAAATCCGTAAAAAATCGTTATTACAGTTTAGGACCTACCCGAACTCCTGTTAGTGCAAGAAAAGCGAAACTGGGACGAAGTTGAGGCAATTTGTTGTTTTTATGCTCGAATTTCCTCCGAGGTTATTTCTGTCCTGACGTTGCTAAATAAGAATGCGTAGACGAAAAGCAAAGAGAGAACGAAACTGGCGAAAATTGTTCCGGTCCTCCGGTTGGTACGAAATAAATATTGATTAATGATTAACAGCGTTAAGCTTAAATTTTGGAGAGAGAGTTAAACGAAACACGCTTTCGCAAAATCTGATAAGTTCAGCAATTTACAAGAGCCCCGGAAAAGATTCTTTTTCGATAATAATTGGAAAACAAAAATAGCTCATCTTTAGGGTTAAATGATGGTTGAAGTAAGGCCCCGCGGCGATGATTCGACAAAACCTTTTACATTTTGTGTATCGAACGATATTTATTTAATGTACCTGTATACACGGGGTGAGGGCTAATTGCCAGACTTTCCAGTTACCGGAGTCTGTTTGTGAATTAATAATTAATATTGTACCTTTCAACGGATCCTGAGAGGCAACGATCAAAAACCCACTGCAAACAGGGAAATGTGATCGAAGTTATGCATTCTAATTTCAACATTGACAATTTTCGAACAAAAACAAAGCTGAACGAAAGATAAATGCCCGATGGTCATGATCAAACAATAAAAGGACGAATTCCGATGCTCGTAAATTTTAAACACGACCATACACACAAATTACATTTCTACACCACCAAAAAATACCTTCAAAATAACCAAAAATGCACACAAAAACATCAATCGATTGAACTAAGAAAATATTTAAAAGTACTTTCTTTTTTGGTAACTAAATAGCACTATTTTTGTGCTAAATATCTTTTCTTCAGCCTAAAAACGTTTACAGTTTAACGATATCAAAGCAAAACGAATGTTTAAAAAACAGAAATTAAAACTGTTTTGCTATCTAAATAATTCTTTGCCACCAATTTTTTATATTAAAGAATTTAGAAGAAAAATCTATTTTTTTGACCTTTCTAAAATTTACTTCTACTCTATATTTCATCATACGTACATACAATCACACCTTTATCTGGATCCTAATTTAAGCTATAGTATAGAACATATGTTTCCCACGACTCTAACAAAAAGTAAGTTTTTCCAACCTAATTTCAGAAAGGAAAGTGACCATTTACATCCCAGAGAGGTAAAATTACCTCCCCCATATAAAGGGAAACACATACTGCTAGATTTATTTAATGGAAAAACTGTGATAGCAGTTAGTTTTTAGTTCTTCTTGCTAGATCGTAGAAAAAATTATATGCATTAAACTAGAGGAAAGTGTCGAGAAATTATCATTACATCTCATAATCGGGAAGTAATTTATAAAGGATTATCAAAGTTACGAGCTCATCAGAAGATGTTAAAAACTCAATTTGTTTGCATAGCAACTATGTCAATGCATCAACTTTGTCAGAAAAACAAATATTTTATTATTAAAGAAATGTTATTCTAAATAAAATAGCATAAAACCTCGATAGAAATCATTACCCCTCAGGCTCTATCCAATTTCAAAGATGGACCTCTATATCCAAGCTCTCAGAGTAATGACACATTTTCCACCTCGCAGGTAATCGACTATTACGCAATTAGTGCACCCTAAATATTATCTGCAATTGAAATTGTCAAACTTCAAAATACATATGACAACTTGACGATAAAATCTAATAACTTAATATTAATTGTTTTTTTTTCTGCCTCTAGAAGTCTGTTACAGTTTCGATACGACATATAATTAAACAATTTAAACTTTTACAATTATGAAATCCTATCATTATCAAAAATAATAACAGTCTGTAGATAATAATTTACATATAATAACTGCCCTACTTTTCATAAGTTTAATTCAATCGCTTCACTTTGACATAGCCTTTTGCAATATTTGAATATGTAGTATACTATACCCAATTAACAAAATTTGTAATTATATGTTAGTTAGTTAGGTCAGAAATTATATTTGGTTCTATGCGGTTGGTAGTTATTAAAGGTCAGTTTAAACTACTAATTATGTCAGTTACTAGTTCTCTTTGACAATTAACAAGATTCTAAAATCTAAATTCCAAAATGTTCATAAGTAAATATTTCAGAGTTTTAAACATACTCCTGAATCCCAGGATATAATGGATGTGGTGGATGTGGAAATGTTCCTTTCTGATCATGACAAATATGCGAAAAATTACAATTTTTTTTTGAATTTATAATTCTTTTAAAAAATATTGTTAAATAACATACAGGGCCAATTCGGTTAGGTATTAGGTCGTAAAAAAACCTAATTTTTAAATATGTATGTAACTTAAGGTTGCGTTTATCAGTGTTGCCGATCCCATAAAAAGAAACCACAGCATACTTTAGACATTTTATAGATCGCATGCAATTTTAATATTATAAATTATGCAAAGACGTTTTATTTGTGCGAGAAAATGGCGCGAATAGCCGCTAATAATTTCGTGCTTTACGTCACTTCCTCCCTCAAGTGATAAGCTCGACAAAAATCGAAGCAACGAGCAAAAAAGCTCGAAGAGTAGAAAAACGTGTTGTTCTTTCCCTTGTCCCATCAACCGGAAATTTGCTCTTTTTTACGTGGGAGAACTCAATTCTGATCTCATACGATTAAAAATTAAAAACTCCACCAACATAAGCCGATCTGATAACCCGGCGATAAATCGTGAAAATCATTAATGAATCTAGGCAAGTGCTGATAAGCCGCCAACAATCCCGGTGGCAAACATAAAGTGGGAGTGGTTTTTAATGTAACCCTCGAAATCTCGACTCGAGCCTAATTCGCCCCTTTGTTCCTGCCTTATCCTGAAATTCCTGCAACCCTTTAGGGATCGATCCGAAAAATCGTTACCCCCGACAAAAATCAAGACAATTAAAGTTAACGAGCCGCTCCGCCGGAAATAGACCTGAGACAATGCCGGAAATTCACATAAATTCTGCAAAAAATTCAAAAAAAATACTCACTTTTCAGGCACAGGTGTAAATCTATTTCAGGGGGTCAGTAAATTGTTTTGGATTTAGTGAGTGAAGTGGACGATGTTTTGACAGAAATCTTTGCCGAAACGACTTGCACAACACTCACACACCGGTTTTTGGACAAGTAATGGCCATGTTATCATTAAATCTCCGAATTTCGCGATATTTTTAAACACAAACACTGTGTGCTGTCAAACGAGCTCCATGACAGTTCGGACTGAACACGTGCGCGCGCACCTGAGACAGGCGCCCTGATCCCGGATTTTTCATTTCAAAAATGATTAGATTTACTCCGGATTCACGCCAATTCACTCCCACTTAAAGAAATTTAATCAAACTAATTAAATGCACTGATTGATTAAATAATTTAGTTACTTTAACATACCTGTATTGGTTGCACTGCTCACGATTGGATCCCCATTGGCTGAATTTAAATTCTTCTATTTCATTTCAAATTTGACATTGACATATGGAGACTAGAAAAAGGACCATTTATTTTTATTTCAACAAACCTCTAAAAGTTTTATTTCGAAAACCAGAAATAAACCCGGAATATGGTTACTTTGGGCAGCATTGATCTGATTGTAATCCCTAGTACACTATTTTTAGACTGAGGTCAGCTCAAAGCTTTCAAACGATTGAAACAATACTATTTTTGGTAAGTTTTTTATTCAAATTATCTCTTCCTGATTTTAAGCCACAAACAGATGAAACTTAAACAGTGAAATATGATACAGAGAAACAGCATGCTCCATAAATCACGTGACAAATTATCTTCTGAAAAACTGTATTTCTCTAGGACCTGAGTGTCTGAAGTTAGGCAAGGGATTTCCTGGTCGGAAATATCGCATGCTGAAAAAAATATAAATATTTTGACTGAAACGTAGAAAAAAAGAAACTCACTGATATTTTTTATTCCGTTCCATTGAATTATAGAAATGGATTCGGTTGAATACATCAACCAGGAGAGATATTTGGTCCAGGAAAAAACTCGTGGAAGAGTGCTAAAACCGCATTTTGGTTGAATAATGTTGTTTTTTTATTAAGATTACCTTAATTTAACAAAAACCCCCGATGTTAGCATAAGCACGTAATCAAAAGGCACCAAATAGGCCATAGCCGCAGGCACGGAATCAAACGCATTCGAAAAGAATATTCCTGGAACGTTTTGAATCTTTAATATTAAAAGAGTAAACCGAAATGAATCAGTGAACTGGAAATCCCGGGAATAAATCCGTAATTCAAATAGAGCACTAATAATAGCCCGAATTTGGCCGTATTTAAATTTTAACGTGAAAAATCGTGCCAAATCACGGCTTTTGAACGACTTACCGCACGCAGCGGCCGAATTCAAGGTAAGAATGCCCGCCAAAGTTGTCATTAGGAAGGCATAAGCGGAGGCACGGAGGCCCGAAAGCCAATAGACGATAATCACGAACAAAATCGGCTCGATTATTAAACCCGGCAGCTGAAACAGAATTATTTCTGATGACATACAAGTGCTGAAATCAAATTATAATGCATAGTCACAATGAAACATATTAATGGCCCTAATACGAGCACAATTGAATATAATTCACATTTCGGTTTTTAAATAATTAGATAACAGCAGGCGAATGTTTGTTGGCTGATTAATTTAATTATCCAATCAATATGGGCGGAAACAACCTAATTTTACAATTTGTAAATACTGAGGTGTAAGTGTGATGATAAAAAAAATATGAACATCGCCTCCGTGGCGCAATCGGCTAGCGCGTTCGGCTGTTAACCGAAAGGTTGGTGGTTCGAGCCCACCCGGGGGCGTTTTTTTTTCCAACAAATTATATATTATTTATTAACTTATCTTTATCAAATTGTTTTAATATATAGTGTAGTAGGGACATTTTTCAAACGAAATCGACGTTTTATAACCCGACTATGGTTAAATGTTGAATCTAATTTGAATAAGAAATTTAACGTTCTAATAAAAGAACGCGGGTTCCAATCGAATCCACTATTCGTGACATCGCTAACCAAAACCCTCAAACTCCTGCCACTTTATGGTTAATTTAATTCGGATCAGTCGAATAACATGATGGCAATAGAAGATGATTTGTTCAAACATTTCTGTAATAAAAATCTATTTCTTAATTAATACAGTTTCTAAATCTATGTCTAACAAATTAGTCACAATAATGGCCAAAGTAATTTATGAGGAATTAATAAAACAATAATAAATAAAAAGACAGCTCTTATATGTAGAAAAAATTCTTAATTTTAAAATTTTTAATCTCACAATCTTAACAATAATATTAGCAACAACGTCTTGTGCTCAAAATTGAGTTAAAAATTAAGATTCAAGTTACAAATTTATTATTTGATTAAAAAAAATATTATCTCATCATGATCTACAAATTTTACCGTATTTTGTAAATAGGCAATAAATAAAATACAAAAAATTTAATACATTTAAGTTCTTAGAAAACAAAGATCTCAAAATTAAAACATTAAGATTAAAATCTCATTTTTTTGTAGAAATTATTCAGTTTGCGATCTGTTGTAATTGTGATAAGATTTACTATTTTATGTTAATAATTACAAAATTACAAAAAAAAATAAATCTGGGCCCAATTCCACCAACAACTTTGCATTTTGTACTTCTCACGTTAGTTACTACTATTTTAAATTTAATTATGGTTCCAAATTATTTGCAAAAACTACAAACCATTTTGAGAATTTTTGAAAATTCTAGAGAAACAACCGTGCCATAAAAAAAATTAGAGTAGGTGTCGATGAAATTCTACAGTTGGCAACACATTGGCTGGGAATCTGGGCCAAAAATTTTCCACACAAACTGAAAATGAAAATGACCATTCACCGTTATCGTCTTGTACAGCATTTTTGTAATAACTTGCAACAGTAAACATTTAACGCTCTAAAGTGAACATTATTTCACTCAAAATGAATAAAACGCAATCTTGTTAAAGTTTCTACTGACATTTGGTGTCAAAAATCAGGATTGCCATCTGAAGGATTTTAATTATCGCCTACTATTATTTATTAATTTTTTTGATCGCACGATACAATAAATTATACTTTTCAGACTTTGCAAAGTGAAAAGTGCAGCGCAAAGTTGCAGAAAAAAGTTCTCGAAGAGTGGAGCAAAAGCTTGCCTTACCAGTATCACAACTGTATAAATATACAGTTACAATATAAATATAAAATTAACAGCTTCGTTAAAAAATAGAATAAAGAAAATTTCTCTTTCAATAACACTCATTATTTTTATAAAAAGTCTTTGAAAAATTACCATTGAGAGAATTCGCGATAAGAAATACAAAAACGCTGAGTACAACCCTGAATTATACTCCCTCAAAAACAGGGGGTATTTCTGTGGAAACTCATCCAAAATGGAATACATCGGTGTGAACGTATTTTCTGAAACCAATAAGAAAATAATTCCTTGGACATTTTGTACCCCAATCTGTGTTGTAAAATCTGTGCCCAAATAACACAAACCGATCATAATTCCAATAACCTACAAAACAATTTAATAAAAAAAAGTATCAAAAAACTTCAATTTGTACAATTTTTTCCGATATTTTCGTTGCTTGAAGAGTCGGGTCCCTCCACAAATCCAGAAACCATCGATAAGTCAACCAGTACAATTTTTGCCAGAAAAACAACTCATTACTGAAACTTCTATATTATTTTGTCACTTTACAAATCAAAATCTTACTCACAAATTGGTCCTAAGCTTGTAAATTTTGCTCTGCAAGAATTTGTTATTCAAATAATTAAAAGCCCGTCTTTACCTCCACTGCTCTCCCCATGTGAAATTCATACTGAACAACAACGTTCACCTCTTTGTTGTAATCACTGACGACGAAATAATCACAAATTCTCTTTATACACTGTCTACTATTTTCCTCATAACCAGGCGTTGTTGCCAGTGTTTTGATGAAGAAATCGGCTGGGTTGTACGACGTAGGACACCTGTAACCGGCCCTGCAAAAATAGTTTGTGATGAAAAAACCCAGAAAATGACACGACTACTTTTCGAAAAAATCCAGTGCCGATGCTGCACTCCCCATGAACGCAATTCGACCATCAGCCATCAAAATTAATTGACTAAATATTGCAAAAATGTCCGATGATGGCTGGTGGATTGTGCAAAGAATTGTTTTTCCACTACACGCCATCGTGTTCATCATTGTTATGATTTTTTGGGCTGAGTATGAGTCGAGACCGGTCGTGGGTTCATCGCAGAATAAGATTGGGGGGTCTGTTAGGAGCTAAAAATATTTTTCAGTTTTTGGTTTTTTAATTTTTTTCTATACTTCTGTCGCAAAAGCGAGTCGTTTTTTCTCGCCCCCTGACAAGACTTTGCTCTCCCCATTAATCCCAATCCTCGTATTGAGACACTTAGTAAGTCCAAGACTTTTCAAAATTTCATAAATCTTCGAATTTCGCTCTTGTTGAGTCGTCTTGCGGTCAAGTTTGAGCCTTGCCATGATATTCATGTGTTCCAAGACAGTCAAAGAGCCGATGAAAATGTCCTCTTGGTGCATAAACCCACTTATATATTTCATATAGTCGCCAATAGGCCGCCCGTTAATTAAAATATCCCCCTCAACACACGCACCACTGGCGTTTCTGTAGGCTAAAGTGGACATTAGCGTACTTTTCCCAGCGCCACTAAAACCGAGTTAATTTCTAAATGTCGCAACAAGAAGATGAAAATATTAAACTTTTACCTCGCCCCCATCAAAGCTACTAAACTTCCCGCTTTTACGGCGCCGGTAACTGGAACAAATCAAAATTTAAAGGCCAAAATTTTCTAGTCAAGTTTACCTCCGTTGATGATTCGTTTGCATGTGGTTTTACCCTTTTTCTTGGTTTGGATATAGACGGACACGTCGTTCCAGGCGAGAGTTACTCCTTCCTCCATCGGGGACCACTGGCTATAAGTCCGGATTTTTCGGGTGTATTGGTCGCTTTCGCCGAAAATTCCGGAACTTTCCTGGGTGAAAATATGCAGTGGTGCTATTTATAAGGCATTTTTGCTTCTCATAGGATATTTGATATTAATTTTAATGCATTGGATCGAGTGTCGTTGCGGTTGCACTGATTTTGCTAGTATAAACAAGGTTCTGTACCAACCGACAAAATAAAAAATTAAACTACAACTAAATTGTATTATAAATGCTTTAACTGATACATACGTCACATGTATTCCGTTTTAAGGAAGATTTGTTGATTTTTAGGTATTTCCATCGTCAATTCAGAGAAGATTTTTTTACAGTAGTTTCAATCAAAACTGTTCATGCATCAATGAACCTTTAGTCAACTCTGCATTTTTACCAATATGCAATGAAAGTTTGTCTACACTTCTGCAGATTTCGAAGATTTTGTTATTTTTGTTTTAAAATCAACAGTTGCAAAAATGTGTTTAAAATTTAAAAAAAGCTTTTTAAATAATGATTACGGCTACACTAAAGTCGCAAACTGCTCGACAAAATTGTCAATTTTTTTTACAAATCATCTTAATCCGGACAAAACGGACGGAATTCAAAAAAAAATATGGCTAGAAAATTGAAATATGTCGTTTATTGATTTCACAATTTTTAATTAAAAGAATTACTTTTATGTACCTACACATTACGTATGTATAAAAAATAAACTTGAAATTTCAATCACAATATGTTGTTTTTTGTCCTAGATTAAATTGTGATTCAAGCTTCTAGCAAATGATAATATTATTATTATCAGTTCAGTTTTAAAACTAATTTATTATAATTATTTATTTTTATGTTCAAAAAATTAATTTTAATAGTTTCATCCGTGTAAAACTTGGTTTGCACACATTTTAAAGCTCATAAACTCATAACGTTTAATCCGGACTATCGCTGATCCGGATTTATATGCAAAATCCGGAAATAAACTATTTCTTAAGAAAATTTACACGAGAAACTGAATCAAGCACCTTTTTTAATCTAAAATCAATGGTTTTGTTCTGTAACCAAAATTGTAACTCTAATTAACTCCGAGTCTTGACGAGTAGTTTTAATCAGTACTGTTCATGCATCAATAGACCTTTGGTCAACTCTGAATTTTTACCAATATTGTATTGTTTTTACAATTTTTAATTAAAATAATTAAATTCATGTACACATTATGTATGTCTAAAAATAAACTTGAAATTTAAATGACAAAATGTTGTTTTTTATCCTAAATCAAATTGTGGGTCAAATTTTAGACAAATGATAATAATTATCATCAGTTCAGTTTCAAAACTACAACTATAATCATTTATTTTTATGCTCAAAAAATTAATTTTAAGAGTGCTATCCCCGTAAAACTTGGTTTGCACACATTTTAAAGCTTATTTTGTAATCCGGACTTTCGTTGATCCGGATAGGCTCCGGTCCCATCAAGTCTGGATTAACGAGACTCTACTCTTTAAACTGTGCTAAAACAAATCATTTTCGGGTTATTGCTCGATATTTCAGGGCTTTTTAGTAAGTCCTGTGCGATATCCGGAAATAAACTATTTCTTAAGAAAATTTGCCCGAGAAACTGAATCAAACATCTTTTTAACCTAAAATCAGTGGTTTTGAGCTGTAACCAAAATTGTAACTCGAGTTTTTACAATTCGATAGAATAGTTTGCAAATTAGTTACTTTTTTCGTAAAACCTAGTTTCGAAAAATAAAATGTTGATGAAGAAAAAGTTGACAAAATCGAGCCAAATGACTCCTCTGGGTCTAAAAAACCCAGAAAATTCATAAAACGTTCGACGGACCGGTTGAATGTAATAATAATTAGTTTGTCATTTTTATTAGTTTTATGTTTTAAAAAAAATCTACATTGTTCAACATTGCTGTATAATCGGTGTTGTGTTTATTTATGAGTACAAATTTGCTTGCGATGATTAGAATAATAATTCTACATCCATAATTAAATATTTCCGGAGCAATTATCTAACAATAATAATTAATTTGTGAATCGTAACGCGGTAATTTACTTTCGTAGTGTTGAAATTGGAGTTTGTAATTAAACATCAGCAACAACACAATTAGACAAATATTTACTTATCTCCTATTCTCAAATAAAATTAATTTTGCTGATGTTTATTAACGAAAATTTCATTTTAATACTTACATTAGTTCCGAAATTTCTCCAACTCGTATTCAGGGGAGATAATTGTGTGCCTTCTTCGTCCGAAGCCATCCCAAACCACTAATTACACTATCGCTCCTAGACATTTAGTAATTGTAATAAAAGTGTCTAAATATTTACTAGAAGCAAACAGTGAAACACTTGACTATTATTTGTATAGTGCTTCTGAATTATTAAGTCGGTATGAGCCCTAGGTAATTTTACACCGGTTCCCCCACCCCTAGGTATTTTTTCAGCGATCGATCTAGATTTATCAAAGCGTTAATAACACCAGATTAAATTCTCTCACAATTTTATTAATTAAAAATAGTACAGTAGAATTATTTGAACCGATAAGTCTTAACTATCAACGCAAGAAACGCCACTAGTCGAAATCCGATGATGAGGACCGCCAACATCACCACATCCATTACGAAGTCGGCCTAAAATAAAAGTGCAAATTTGTGTTTTTTCACATTTTAATTTTGAACCTCTGAAAAATGAAAAATCTCCAAAATAACATGCCCATCCTTGGGGCAGGGTAAATCCGCATTTGGGCACTGAATATTGGTCACATTTTCCCACTGGTTGATCATCAGCGCCCCATTTCCATATCGAAACCACGACAGATACGACAACCATTTAAAATAAACCGGAATCGAGCTAAAACCCCAAATTAGATTTGTGTAACTATTAGAGTTGCAAGTACCTGACGTTAAGAAAGAAGCCCCCAAACAGCAAAAACGGAATAACTAAAGGAGGTCCGATTGACAGAGCCATAGAAACGCTACGGGAAACGCAGGATATCAGATATCCTGAAAAATTGATATTTACAGGAAATGAGTCATTGGATCGATTTTTTGCTTTACCAAAACTGATCGCAACGTTTGCAACCAGGATCATAATGCCACAAGCGATGTAAAATCGGAAGCCTTGCGAGTTTAATCCGATCATGAAATAACAAACGGATGTTAAAATGACGGGGATTATTATAAAAATTGGAGATTCGGCGAGAGTTTTACTGATGAAATAAATACTGGGACGGTACATGCCGTTGCGGTGCTCGTGGAGGAAGACGGGAAGCTCGCCACTAAATACCTATTTTTTTCGCATAAGGAGGTGTTTCAGAGCCAAAAATGAAGAAACAGACGCTTTAAAATAATTTTTCTATCGAACAACAAAAAATTTAATTAGATCAACTCTAAGCTTTTTATCCAAGTGTCAACTACAAGATATCTTTTTTATTCACAATGAGGTTTAGTTATTTACTTTACATAATAGCATTGACCGACTTTGACACAAAAGTCGCATCACTGCTGTAAAAAAATATATCGCGGTTTATAACTGTTTAAATTCACAAAAATATGAAAACTCTGTTTCTTTCCCAAAACGCCAAACTTTTATTTTCATCACGACATAAGGTGGTCATCCTTGGGTGAAAATAAAACATAGAAATACGTTAATGTTATTAAGTTAAACTTTAAACATTAAATAAAATTGAGTATCTAATACTAGACCATCCTACCATACGATCAAATGAATTAATGATCAATATATGATCAATGATTTTGAAATAAAGTAGGTAACATAATAATGTAGAGAAACAGATATGAGGTCGTAACAAAAAAGTGTATTTTTTTTTTTTTTAATTAACCCAGAAATTCGGCTGTACACACCATTTTGACCAAGGACTCAAGGTGCAAAACTTCGGGTTTTATTTTGTAAATTTCTGGTAGAGGACATCCAAATTGGTTAATGTTTTTAGCAAACCTAAGTAAAATGTTTCAAAGAGTGGTTAGGCGACGAGAAAACATCGCAATAGTTTAAAAAATCGACCAAAATTTTATAATAAAATTAAAAAATCTACAACTGAAGAATTGAATCAGATAACATTTTTTACTTTTCTAGAGTTCATAAAGAATCAAAGTACATAAAACGCCGTTGTTGGGTCGAGTTTGAAAAATTACGGTAATATGTAAATCGATCAAGTGCGCCTCTTTGAGCTCTCGGCGTTATGACATATTTTCCACTTTTATTGTAATATACTATTAAGTAAGGAAAACTCAACTTCAGATTTTTTTGGGTATCTACATAAGTTGTACAAAATTTTTTCAAGAAAAAATGTCATTTTAATTATCAAAATACTATTTAAAAACGTTTGTAATCGACCCATGTACTAAACATTTTAACGCTTTGACGTTTTTAAGTTTGAGATAAATACTGTACGAAATATTGATTTTTCCTTACAGAACTGAAAAAATTATATTTTGTGTGATTTCAGAATATTCAATTTTTGTATTTTTCTTTTTAATTTAAAAAAAAATCATAACGGATGTTAAACACATAGTACATAGTTTTTCTGCTTTGTTTGAATTCTCTAAAAGTAAGTGAAAAATTTATATTTTCGACCTACAATCATTCTTTGTTGCTAACTTAAATTTAAAGCGGCTTGACCATGAAAGTGTGATATTTGAATTTGATAAAATCTTGTCAAGTTGATTTTAAAGTAGCAAAGTTGTTCAAAATAATTTTGACTGTTTCCTCATAGTTTTGAACATTTGTTTTGGAAAAACTTACATTGATAACGGCAAAAACGTTTTGGAAAGTCATATTTGTGAGAAACACGAAAAGCACTCCATTTATGTTCATTACACCATCCTGGTTCAAAACTTGCCCAAAATAAATCGCCCCAATAACGAGCGAAATTATCTGATAACACAAAAGTCATAATGCTAAATTTGTGACCAAAATACCTCTTACAAGAGTTTGAAGTAATCGGACTTTAATTAGAAGCGGTTCTTTAAAAACCGCCAAAAGGGACCGCCACAAAACAGCCTTGAATTGGGCCCAACACGAGGCTTTATACGGGCTCTTGAAACTCTCACCATTTATCCAAATATCGTAATAACCCCCTTCTCTCTCCTGAAAAACTAAATTATTGACTTTTTTGCAATCACCGGGATTTTACAGCAGTTGCAGCCTCGAGTGCGATTTTAACCCCGATATTTGATCGTTCGAATTTGTCACAAATTAAGTTAACTGCTTGTCGACTCGACTCTTCCTTTTCGGGGACTATGGCTAAAAGTTGGATGAAGTAATCGGCAGGATTGTAATTTTTTGGACACGGGGCCTCAATTCTAAAATTTATAATAACCAGATTGAAGTGAAATTTCAAATTACTGACTCCCGGAAAAATGTCTCGGCCTCTTCCGGGCTTCCCAAAAACGCTGTTCGTCCCTCTGACATTAACAACAACTTATCAAACATGGAATACACCTCACTCGAGGGCTGATGAATTGTACAAATGACAGTTTTTCCGGTCATTGCCATTTCTTTAAGGACTTGCATGACGGTGAGTGCCATGAAGGAATCCAACCCGGAAGTGGGCTCATCGCAAAACATTAGTTTCGGGTTTGTCAAAACTTCAGCTGCAAAAGAGAGACGTTTCTTTTCACCACCTGAAATCCCCTTAATCCGGCCCAAAATTCCGATCTGGGTATTTTGACACTTTGTCAAGGCCAAATCCGAAATAACTTCCTCGACTCGGGCCATTCTTTGATTATAGGAAATGTCACGATCCATTCGAAGCAAAGCTTGAAAAATTAAATGCTCTCTAACTGTCAAAGTACCGATAAATAAATCATCTTGTTGGACATAAGCCGATTGACTGGCCAGAGTTTTCGATGATACCGGAGTTCCGTTTACACACCGGAGTCCGGAAACGGTCAAATTCGAGGTCGTGTGAAAGGTTAGAGTGTTGAGTAGGGTCGTTTTGCCGGCACCGCTGGATCCAAGGATTGCTAAAAGCTCGCCCGGGTAAGCCACCCCAAACACTGAAAAAATGTGAAATCAACTGGAATTGCGAAAATTTCTAGATACCATTTTTTAAAATGTGTTTTTTCTGAACTGGGGAATCTCTACGTTTTATAAAATTTAAAAATTTGGTTTTTGATGGCGAAACATTAGCGAAGGCATTAATTTCGCTCCAGCTGTATGTAATTCGCTCATCTGGTGGTACTAATTTGCTTGTCGGGTGAGTGGTTGTCCCATATGTTGGTACTCTGAACGTTGATAAGTCGATTGATGTAGCCGAATTGGTGCTATCGCCACTCTGAAAAACGAGTGCTTCAAAAAACAGTTGTGAACAGTAAAATGAGTCTTACATTTCCGTTTATTTGTGATACAACTCCGGATAAAAGTGATTGGGTTTCATTTTCCATTTTTACACTGACACTATTACCATAACACAAATTTTAAAAGTAGTACACATAAGAATTTATCTCTTGTATGTAAATAAACTTGAAACAATGATTATTTACTTAGGCTAACTGTCGACGTTGTCTGAATTGTGAAATACCTTGAAAATTGATACATTGTAGTCCATTGATCATATCATATGTCTTCCCCACTGCAAAGCCTCTTATTTACGGTTGAAGCGTTTCAACCCCCTCTAAAGATTTTATTCGATATTGGAGCTGTAAGTCAGTTAGAAAACTGATAATCTCTTTTGCTTCACTACAAAACGACACACCAGATCGCTACCAACTTCACATCTTCTTTCAATGATTTAGAGAAAAAATCTATCAAATTTTCCATGAAATTTTACACCCTATGTGATTGAAGAAAAAATCGAAATATGTATAAGAAACATTAAAATAAAACACTTTTTATTTGAAGATCAATCGACATGTTTGCGTTATATATTTTTTTTAATTCGTCAAAATTTTTAAAATGTAAATGTTTTTTTTTTACTTAGAATCTAGATTTTTTAGACTTGTAAAACATTTTTAAAGCAACATGCGAAAATCAACATTTTTCTAGAAATTCATTCTTCTAGATATAAATAATTAGATATTGTAGATCTGCGTTATGTGAAATCTTTGGAATCATATTTGGATCAATAGTCCAAGGGTCCAAGGGTCTAAATAAATCTAAAGTTGGGATTTTAGACCCACTGAATTATATATTCTTGATAGATTTTAGGTTTTGATATCTAAACATGTTACAAGTCTAATTTAAAAAAGAGAGATTTTTTTATAAATCCACATGCACTTCCACAACATTTATTTTAGCCTTCACATTAAAAAATATATAGGCTCTCCGGAAAGTCGCGCACCTCCGTGACACTGTGTCATCGAACAGTGCCCTAGAAAAGAAAAATGTTTAAAAAAATCTATCTATAAAAATTTCGAAGTTATGAGAGTTAAAATTTTGAATTTTGACTATTTATTTCTATTGGAAAAATAATTTTCCATTTTTTTTGCTACAGGCTATTAGAAGAAAAAACAAAGAAACTATATCCTAAATTGTAACTCTGTTTAATGTTATATGTGTCTTTTATTGGCAAAATTTTTGTACCTTTTCTAAATAATTATAAAAAAACATATACAAGATTATCAGTATCATTAAATAGATATAAAAAAGTCAAATGTCAAAAAATAAATATCAAAATTTTTTGAAAGATAAATTTTTTTCAAGGAAGTGCGCGATTTTCCGGACATTCTGTATTATGAAAAACACTTAAATTTTACATTCGCTCTGTTAATAATTTTATTTATTTTTCTTTATTTCATTTTTAAGCACCTAACGTACTAATAATTATCTTTTCAAGTCTTTTATTGTTTTCTGAGGTAACGAATAAAACAACTAAGTAAATAAATGCACATTTTATTTGATATAGTTTACATGTAATGAAACTTAAATATTTGTACATAAATCAGCGTAATACAAATAAAATTAGAAACATTCTTTTTGTCTAATGACTAATGAGTAATGACTATTCTCCTTCAAATCTTCGAACTTGAAGATACATGTATTAAAAGTTGCCTAATTTCAATTTAATTTTTGCTTTATATCAAAGAATCAAGAACAGTAATTATAATAGGGAAGTGTATTTTTAAATTACCTATGAAATGGTGTGTAAACGTTTAAACGTAGATAGAAACATAAAATTTGGAAGATATGCGCCTTAAAGGGTGTAGAGATCTGCCAACAGAATTCTTCAAAAACAGTTTGGAAGACATTTGAAAAACAGTTCTGACTATTTTGATACATCTGTATATCCAAAAAAATCATCAATTATATTCTGATAAAAATAAGAAAGTAATAGGAAAATTCAAAGATAAATTAAACGGTTTTAAGATAATAGAATACATAGGTTTAAGGACAAAAGTGTACAGTTACAGAACCGAAAATACTGTTTCGAATACATTAAAAGGTATCTATAAAGAAGGCAGTATTGAATAAAGAAATAAGTTTTTAAGATTACAAAAATAGCTTATTAAATCAAACAGAATACTTCCATAGGCAGAAAGTGATCTGGAGTTATAAACGTGATATATTTACTGAAGAAGTAAAGAAAAAGTCTCAAGTAGGAAAAATGTTAAAAGATACCTTTTACCTAATTTTACAGATACATTAGCTTATGGAAACGTATTAGTTCATGAAAATTGTTGAATAAATCGCTATTTTTTATTAGTGTTGGAGTAATATAAAGTAAGAAAACAATAATAACAACTACGATAACAAATATAAGAACAAAAATAATAATTTTTAATTTATTAACTTGTTGAATAAGACTTGAAAACTTTTTTCGAAATTTTGGATATTCTTCATTGTTATTTCTGATAATCTATCTTTTAGTAAATCTTTATATCCAGTATCCAGATTTACTTATGTAACACGATACAATAAATAAAGTGAAATTCCAAAAACTTTGATTCCTAGAAAAATTGGTCCCAGATTTTTTTGACATTTTTTCCATGTTTCTCGTATGTTACTTGAAATTTTTCTCTAGGGCGAAAGTTCTGACACCCTATATAATGAAGAACACTCAAATTTCACTTTCGCTTTGATATGCAATTTTTTTTATTTGTCTTTTAAGCACCTACTAATAATTATATTTTGAAGTCTTTTATTGTTTTCTGGGGGCATGAATAAAACAACCAAGTAAATCAAGACACATTTTATTGTATATAGTTTACATGTAATGAAACTTAAATATTTGTACATAAATCAGCGTAATACAAATAAAATTAGAAACATTCATTTTGTCTAATGGCTATTCTTCTTTTTTCCTGGGGTTCAGTTTATTTATTGTATACCTCACAAAAACATTTTTAACAAAAAGAAATTATAAAACCATAAAATGTATAAGTTCCCAAGATAAAGACGAATAGTTACGTAATAAATAAATAAATGTGCACCATGGGCGTGCCTTTTGTAAAACCCAAATAACGCGTGTTGTAGCTAAGACTTAAATAAATAAAAAAAAACATATTTTTAGTACTCTCATCGGTACGACTTAAAAGAAATTGCATTGCGTGGCATTAACGTTCTTATAAGAACAAATTGTTAACTACAAATATCAAACCAAGCAAAATGCACGACTATTGTCATGTTTGTTACATCTAACCCTAAACTCATTAAAATATTCGCTCTTTAGGTACTAAATTTCGGAAATTCCATTTCCCTGATATCCTTGACCTAATTTAAAAAATTGCTCCAGATAAAAAATTCCACAACTAAATCGACAACAATATGTACAAAATTTGATTAATTCACTAGTGATAATATTACTAAATTATATTGGCACTTTGATTGGCAACAAAAATCGTTAACTCATGCTTTATTATTCTTTGCTAAATTATGCGAGGCCCAATTCAACGAAGTCTTCCACGAATTCGACAAAGCCTCATCGAATTTACTCCTAAAATGATTCAAGGCCTCCTCCTCCGACTTCGACAGGGCCTAAAACCCACAATGAACCCCCTAATCAACCTTTGAAGAAACTCACCAAAGTGTCCCTGATATAATTCAAATCTTTCTCCGAACTCAATTCAGGCAAACCAGTCGAAATCATCATCGCACAAAGCGACAAAATTAAACTCCCGTGTTTTCGCAAAATCACGAAGGCCTTCTCGCAATACTCCTGAAATATTTTAAATTCAAGCGTAGTTTTCTGCCCCTTGTTTATGACATATTCGAAGTCGTGGGTCAACACGAATGGGACTCTTTCACGCTTTATCCCGAATTTCTCCTTAAAATGGCCCAAAATGTGGCCAAAGTCGATGTGAAACAGTTGGCCTGACTTTTTGACCATTATATTGTCAGAATGGCGGTCCGCGACGCCCAAGACGTACGTCGCGACGCAGTACCCGGCGCACGAAAGAGTGAACTCATTGATGGCCTTGTTGAGGGCCGACTCCGTCGGGTTGTGGTCCTTCAACCACGCTAAAGACAATGTTAATCACCGGTTAACAAACGAGTGTCCAATTACCCAAAATTGAGCCTTTGCGGAAGGCCGAAGTGGCCGAAAACACGCCTTTGTCCTTCTGAATGTTGGCAATAGTCTCCGCGTTGAGAACCACTTCAATCATACCAGCCCTATCTCCTAACGATATGCAATTGTAAGGACTCAACCTGAAACAACTCGATTAGGGCACAATAACCGATTTTTCACACCTCACGGACCTTAAATCTAACCCTTCACTCTTCCACAACCTATCCATGATTTTCAACATCTGCAACGTGAGCATATCTTGTCTTAAATCATCGCCATCTTTGAAAATAATATAAACATCTTCACCAAACGTGTCGTAATTCTGAAGAACTATCCACAACGGCCGCATTTTGCTATCCATAATCCTACATTTGTCTAATTTTATTTTCGAACACCTGAACCTGGGGTCTAGCGGACTCCTGATGTTTTGCACAGTCTCGTCAATGTGACACTCTGATAAATAATCTTTGAGGTTTGATTTTGCTTTTTCTTTGCTTTTGTTTTTGACGTGTTCTCGACTGTTTTTCAACTTATCGAGAAATTCTAATTGTTTTAATAACACAGGCATGTGTTCTTGACTACCTCTGCAATACGCTTCGAGGATAAGTCCGAAGCGGACCGACACAGATGGGACTTGCAACTCGGATTTGAGGTGCCAGAATAAGTAGTGACCGATTTTTTGATTATTCAGTGCTCGTTTTATTAGAAATTTCACTAAATCACATTCTAGATACATTTCGTGTTTGATTGCTTGTACTAATTGTAAGAGATAAAGAAGTAAGTCCTCGTCACTAAAATTATTATTTTTATTTGAGTTAGGGGAAGATATTTCTTCATTACCTAACATCGTCAAGACATTCAACAGCAAAACTCCGTACTCTCTGATCAGGATATGCATAATCTAATAATTCTAATGCTTTCTCAGGCGGAAGCTTAGGCCAGTCTTTTAATAGTGCAGCTACGTCGCTCACGACTTCCCGAGTGTCCCAATCAATCGCAGATAGCAGTTTCGGAAGTACTTCCGGATTTTGCTTTTTCCAATAGTCTTTCAACAGCCAGATATTTTTTCGATCCTAATGATTAAGAAACATTCGTAACATCAAAATTTAGTCTTAGATTCGTATACGCGCGTATTACATAACATACTTTTCATAATTGCTAAAAATCGACAAAAATTCGTCTCCCAACATACAAAAATGTTTTTATATTTTATATATTTTAATTTTATTTCCCAATATACAAAAATAAAAGGTTTCCTAGACGTCAAGTCGAATTAAAAGCATGAATCAACAACTTAAAATGTCCCAAGACAAGCAATTTTCGAGTTAATGAACAATATTTTGTGTTTTTTTACCTAGTATCCATAGTTTTTGAGTATTTGACAAAATGAAAATTATCCAGAGATTGCGATCATGACTAATTTTTGCCGTAGGATCTCTAGTACTCGAGCATACATGTATTTTTCCAATTTTTTTTAATTTTCGACGATTATGTAGAAACTATTGAAAGAAATATTGTGTCGATACAAAAGCAATAAATCTGACCTGACCTAACGATTTGCTAAATAAAAATAAAACTACAAATTAAAACACAAATCGCAATACAAAAAATGTGCATAAATTTTGTCTAAAAATTGTAAAATACAGCGTTCAAATTTGACTAATAATTGACCTTACCTCACCACTTGCTTTAAAAATGTTGATTTATTTAAAAAAATCATAATTCAAAATATTTTTAATCAAAATTTGGTATGGTATGAATTTCAACCAAACCACAGAACAGAATAAAAATGTTTAAACCACACGTAGAAAGATGGTTCAGGGAGTGAGTGGAGTTGAGAAAACCGTCAAATTATTTTTTTGTTATATGGTAAATGAGAGAGCTTTCTAACCGGTCACGATTTTTTTTTAAATTTACTCAGATTTCAGATTAAAAAATACAACGTAAAATTTATACAATAAACCTTGTGTAATGATACACATAATGATAAATTTCCTTCAAAAGTATTTGATTTTTCACCTATAAAAAGTAACGGTTTTGCACGCAAAGTGAAAGAAAAAATATTCTACATTTCGCAAAAGTTTCAATTTTCGTTACCCCCTTCCCCCCCCCCCTTACCTGTTCATGAACCTCAAACAAGTTGTCATTCTCAGTAAGAATTTTCTGACAATGTTCGATGTTTGTCGGGTTATATTCAATACTGTTACTAATATATTTGCTTTTGTTTTCCTGAGTAAAATTAATCATTGCTTCCGTCGTTGGATAATAAATCGTTTGGTCTTCAGCGAAACTAAAACTAATGTAAGAACATCATTTTTTTTTCTTTTTTTTTCTTACCTATTAAGATGTAGAGTTAGGGCCGTTGCACTCTTACTCGGATTATTAACAACATTCCCTAAAGTATTAAATATGTCCTCACACATTAAATCATTAGCAAAAGTCCACATGTAAAGTGTCATTGCGCCATTTCTAAGCTGATTTTTAAAGTCGTAAACCGTCGTATTAGCCCAAGCTATAGGAGTAATAGACTCCTAGATAAAAATGATTACAATTTTATGGTTTTCATTTAATTAAATATCTACCTTATTATTTCCATATTCTTTGCCTTTTTTCGTTCTAACTAACTTACTAGATTTAGGAACTTCATAAATGCAAAAACACAATTTCGCATTTCTGGGTATATTGCACACTAAAATATCAAAAACTAAAGTCTCCTTAAATAAACTTTCATTCTTTTCGTTTATTGGTTGGATGGAAGCTTTAAGTCTTTCGCAAAGCGATTTTCCCCCGTGAAACAGCCCCACTTGAATGCCAATCTAACCCAAAATTGATTAAATAAAACGACAAAAATGTTCAATTTTCAAAAGTACCTCATTCGTCTTTCTGATATCACAGTTCAATCCGCTGACTGCATCTAAAGTCACACTAAATTTCCTCTGAATATCCCAAGCCGACTTGTGGGCTCTTTTACGCCACGTTAGTGTTGAATAAGTCGACCGCATTCTCCTGTGATCGAAATTATCCACTGTTTCGTAAGGATTATCAGGAGTGACTAAAAACAAAACTCGCATTTTGTTTACACGACTGTAATAACAAACCTGGAACTTTATTAACTCTCACTGTGACCACAATTGGTGTTACGTCCGTAGATAAAGAGTCTTGGATGTATTGGAATTGGATGAGTTGGTGATCTCCTACTAAATACTCGTCCTGGCCACACACTTTCAAAACATAATCGTTGCAACGGTCATATCTTATTTTCAAAACGTTGGACCTTTTCGCCAGAATCATTTCCAATAATTTGTTTGGGTAAATGTAAGGAGAGACATTGAATGTAAAAGAATTCTACAAAGACAAATATTTGATACTTCCTTATGTAAATAAATTTATTTTCCTGCAAACCTCATTATCCTCAAATCTTGTGGTAATTTTAATGTTCTTTTTTTGGTCAAGCGTTTCCGGAAAAATTTTGGTTTTGGGACACAGTCGCGGAGGAAACTGATAATACAGTTTTTCAAGCCACGTATATTTCAGCCGTTTTTGCGTAATTTCATCGCCCAATCTCCGCATTTGAAACCGAAAATCGTTAATTTCGGGATTATTCAGCTCGTCAAATTCCTTCACACCTTGAAAGGATTTTTAATCGGGATTTTCTCCCACCAAAACGACTTACTCCTCCCTATCAAATGCCCAATTTGGACGTTGATTTTGTTGTCTGGTTCGTTCCCAAGGCACTCAATTTTCAGTACAGCGCAAGTTGGTTTAACATCGCAGATTCTCCTAGTCTCGTCGTGCAGTTCCTCCCGCTCTGCCATGCTGTTAATGCAGGTGAAAACGTACGACGACATGTCGTGGAGTTTGCCATGGAGCGGGTACTTGGGGGCCTCCTCCCACAAGTCCTAAAGCAATATTTTGAAGCAAAGTTTCCTTCATTTGGGGCCACTTACCGCTTTAATGTCCAGAAGGGTGGCATTGTAGCAAACTTTGAGGAGAATTACAATGCCGTTAGGCATGAGACAAGTCAATTCCACTGAATCTTCCGGGTCAAACGACCAGAAGTCTGGAGAGTATTCTCGGGGAAATGGAGGCATTTGGAGATTGTTTTCTCGCATCACTACTTCATGATAATTCACGATTTTATTCTAGATGAAAATTCCCGGTTTTAAACCTATTTCCTTGGAAAATTTTGCTGCTTCATTTTCGAGGAAACACAGATAAAGCTGTGGTTAACCTATAAATTAAATAACAATGCAATTGACCAGAATTGTAAGAAATTGGCTAAACACGATAAAAACACTCGTGTAAGTCCCCGTATAACTCAATTTACCTATTTATTGTAAATAATCTCCTTGAATCGCTTTCATCATACACCCATCGCCCATAAAAACAACAATGTGGCATCCTGACAAAACCAAAATCCTTCAACTCGGTTCAAATCCAGTCAATTAATTTACCTTAATCAATCCAATTTCGCATTTATGATAGGTTTTTGTAATTAACGTGTTTTATGTGGGCTTTATGTCACACATTTTTGCATAAATTCGATTGAGTTTTTCTAATTTGTTACTTAGTAAATTTAACTCATGTTGGCAGCCCGTAAAAACGTGACGTGGGGTCGTACTTCCAAGAAAAGCTCCAGGAAAATAGTTTTTACAGGTAAAAATAATGTTTGACCATTCAATTAAAGTGCCCCGATTATACAAAACTGCTTCAAAAATCGCAAAAGAAGTGAGTGCGGGTAAAGGCAGTATCAAACAACTCGTCTACGAATGTAAACATCCCGTAAGTTTTGAGGTTAGAAAGCGTGTCTTTAAATTTATACGATTTCTTCCAGAATATCAAAGCTTTGTACGCGTTACTTGTTCACACGTTTCAAAAGTCAGCCGATATTGAGAAATTAATAAGAAAATCAAAACTTTTAGTCAAAGAGCCGAGATTTGACCCTTGGTTGGCAAAAGTCCTCATAACTGAACTGTTGTGGGGCAAACAACGTCTCTCAGGGCAGTCTAAGCCGGTCCAAACGATCTTGGCCTATGAACAAGTTTTGAAAGCTCACCTAAGCGATGTTTCTGACGATGTAAAGGGGGTGGAACAAGGTAATAATTTGTTTTTTTTGCAGTTTGATAATGGATGAAGATGTGGCCGCCCCCAATGAGGTTTTCTCGCTACCAGCCCATACTAAACAAGCGACCAAAGCGATAATGTTGCTACTTTTCTTCAGTTTTTTAATGTTTACTTTGCCTTTTGGGGCCTATTACGGGACTAAATATTGTCTTGAGGAGTACTGGCACATGAGCGGTTATTCTACTGTTGTTTGGTCAGTCTTAGCGGCTGTTGTCACAGTCAATTTTATTATCCTTGTGTATGCGTATATTGCGTATCATGAGCAAGAGTATGATGATGAGGGCAATCCTATTGAGGAATTAAAACAAGATTAAATTAAAGTATTATTATCATTCCATTGATATTGTATAAGGGCAGATATAGTGTAAAGTGTAAAATATGTATGTATAGTGATTGTGTTTAATAAAACTTGTTTTTTACACTTTCGTTATATCTAAACCCTCCCATTATCCCATAGTAAAAAAATTGTATGTAACACGTTATATTTTAGTTGAAAAACCGCGATACGTCCGTGTCAACACTCTCAAAATCACCACAAACGAGGCTGTTGAGCGCTTCAGAGACGAAGGCTGGATCTTAAAACAATACACAGAGAGTGAAAATTATCTCGGTTTTCTGGACGCAGTCTCAAATCTAGACTCTAACGAATTTATGATTGATTTTCACATCCCATATTTACTAATTTTCCCACCAAAAACCGAATTTTATCAACATGCCGCATACAAGAACGGCAGCATAATTTTACAAGACAAGGTAATCCAGATTAGGTTTAAAATTCTTGTTAGTTTTTTCAAACCTAGGCGAGTTGTCTTCCTGCGCATATTCTCGACCCTCAACCTGGAACATCAATTCTGGATATGTGCGCAGCGCCTGGGATGAAAACCACTCAGTGTGCTGCTCTTATCGATAATACAGGAAAAATTTATGCTGTTGAAATCGGCAAAAAGCGATTTCAAACTCTCGAAAAAATTATCGAGTCTTCGGGGGTTTCCGGTGTTGAACCAATTAATGCCGATGTATTGAAACTAACCGCAAAAGAGTACCCCGATATTGAATATATCTTAGTAGACCCCAGTTGTTCAGGCTCAGGTATAGGCTTCTCCAGGTTTGTTAACCCACTAATGACGTAATTTAGGTTTAACCGATCGAGTCGAAACCGGACAACAGGCTAAAGACCAGCACTCAGAACGCATAGAACGACTGGCAGGTTTCCAAATTAAAATCCTGCGACATGCCTTGTCTAAATTTCCCAAAGTTAAACGAGTCGTATATTCGACGTGTTCAGTATACGCGGAGGAAAACGAAGACGTTGTAAGGCAAGTCCTAGAGACCTGCAATAGGTTTAAATTGGTCCCCGCTGACCAGCTTTTGGGTAAAAAATGGTACAATTATGGCACATCCGAGTTTGGGGATTTGGGGAAATTTTGTTTGTATGCCAAACCTGATATAGACCTGACTAGTGGATTTTTCGTTGCTGTGTTTGAAAGACTGGAAGACGGCGAGACTAATCAGTTTTTGAATGCGCAACTCTTTGAAGAGAAAATGCGAATTGTGAGTTTGATGAATCTGAATAAAGGGAAAAGTGAAGAGAAAGTAGAGGAGAAACAAAAGATTGAAGCAAAAGAGAATGTGACTGGAGTTGTGGAAAAAATCGAGAAAGAAGACATCAAAAGTGAAACAAGTAGCGGTAATGAAGCTACAAAAAATAAAAAGAAACATAAAAATATTGAAATCACCGAAGATTTGGCCATAAAAAAAGAAACAGATGATGGCCTTGAAGAGAAAAAAGTTAAAAAGAAGAAACTTGAAAACAATAGAGAAGGTTCAGAAAGCAAGGATAAAGAGAAAATCTTAAAAATAAAGAAAGAAGAGGGCGAAAATATCAAGAACGTTATCATAAAAAGTGAAACAAATGACAGTACCAGAAAAACGAAAAAGAAGAAGAATCGTAACAATATCGATATTTCAGAAAATCAGAATGACGCAGAAAATCAACTGATCTTAAAAACAGAATTAGACGACAATCAGGAAGGTAGGAAGGACAAAAAGAAAAAGAAATATAAACACAGTGGTGAAGATACGGAAGAAATTGAACAGAGGGAAGACTTGATCTTGACTAACGAAACAAATGATGGTGAAGGGCCAAAAAAGTCGAAAAAGAAAAAGAAACACAAAAATGATAACAATGAAAACTTGAATTTAGTCAATAATGAAGAAATCAATGAAGTCAGCATAAAAATGGAAACAGACCACGATGATGAAGTTACAAAGGCAAAAAAGAAGAAGAAACATAAACAGACGGACGATATCAAAACTTCAGAAGAAGAAAATGTGAAAATCAAAATAGAAAAAAGTGAAAAAAAGAGAAAACATAAAGATGTTGACATGATGGATGCTGTTGTTGAACCTCTTATTCAAAAGAAGAAAAAGAAAGGTGAATCTGTGATTAAAGTCGAGGAAAACACTGAAGAAGATATACCAAAAAAGAAGAAAAAGAAGAAGGATACAATTGATGAAAGCCGAGATTGAGAACATTGTTCCGAAATCAGAGCAAGTGGAGTTAGTTTTTTTTACTTAAGAACAAATTTGTGGATTAGTTTTTTATTATGTTGTTTTTGCTAATAAAATGTTCCATTTCGAACGTAATATTTTTTCCCTTGATTGCGATAAGATTACGGTCTACCCAGTGACACCAAATAACTTATTGAGGCCACTCTTATTATCCAATTTTGAAGATTTGAGCGCAGGTTTGTATTTTATTTCCGCTGGAAGCAATTCCAATATTTTAATAAAACAATTGAGGTCACAAAACTTCGTCTCAAGATTGGTAGTTAGCGTGGTAGGCGCCTTTAGCTCACTTTATAATTTCACATCGACCATTTACCGTGAGAATAACACGCAAACCATTAAGTACATACGAAACATTTTTGTTTTTCCAAGTAAAAAATTGCCATTTCGTTGTAATAATCTACTCACTGATGACATATTACTCCATCTGGAATAATAAATTCGGCGGAAGTATGACTGTTCACGAAATGTCGCGATAAAAAAATTAATTTCGAAATGAATCATAAATAAGAATTGACAGATTTAACACTTGAAGGGGTCATGAATTAGCGATCCGCATCGCATGTAAATATTTCACTAGGTCTATACCCAGTCTAGCCAAGGTGAACTTCGATTAAATCACTGCGAGCTTTCGTTTTCAGAGCTTTGGTCTATCGGAAGGTCAAGGCATGGGCTAGTTGGGTACATTGTGTCGAAAGCGGATTGGGTGAGCGTGTTTTTAAGCTGAAATTTTATGTTTTGCGTGAATTTCTGCACTTGCATTTTAAATTCTAGAAGTAGAAAAGTCGAAAGTATTTCATAAAAATGCACATAAGATTTACTAAAAATAGACGAGTTTTTATGTGTGTTTAATTATTGCAGCATTCGGCATATTTCGCAGCCATTTCATATGCTAATTTTAATCGATAATGCAGCTGCATCACATACTGAGTCATAAAGAACAATTTTTGACAACTGAAAACATAATTGGGAAATCTTTTAATATTTATTCGATATGCGTGTGGAGTATCTGATTATTGTTGCTATTTAATTGTAAGTTCATTTACTTCAGGTGATATTTTTCTAATTTATAACTTAACTTTAAAAAATAATCGTAAACTTACAAAGGTTAAAGAATGTGAATAAAATTCACAGAAGAATGTAAATTACTCTATGATTTAGAGTCGACATTTCAATTTTTCATATTTTTATTTTTAAACCAACTTATTTTTTAAAGTTGCACTTACTAGTAAATAAAAATATTTGACAACTTTGCAATTAAATCACCAATTTTTTTAAATCTATGGAAATTGAATAAATGGTGGCGAAAATGGTCACAACTAATAAAAGAAAATTAAACATTCGCTTTAGAAATGATGTTTATATCGTATGAAAATTGTAGAAACAAAGCTTTGCATGTTTCATATCTTTACTGCCTTCCTACACCCCCTTACCTTTTCACTTTTCTCTTCTATTAAGCGCATTATAATTACAATTTATTGTTATTTGTACTGATTGTATGTTTATGTTGCAATAAAAGTGCACCTCTCGTACCGTAAATTAAAAAAAAAGTTTAATCCATGTTCCACTAACATTTGTGGAAACCCGAAATTTTATGCGTAATTTATTTACGAACAAATAATTAAAACGATACGAATCTTCGCAGTTAATAATAGGTTGCAATAATCACCCGACAATTTCATGGCCTATATTTTATCCTTAACAAAACTGATCGATCAGATCATTAATCAAAATTGCGAGGCGAGTGCATTTTATTACCAGATAAATTCAAGGTGTGAGCCACATTTTTCCAGGCCTGTGTGACCAAACTTTAACACCTGAAAGATTGGAATCTAAATAATTCCAAATCGCTGAAGTATTATACACTAAATTAGATTCGAGGCCAATATTTATTTTTATCGTGAGAAATCTTGAGATTCGATACCTGAGTATATTTAATAAAATAATCCTTGAAACTTGAATTGAATGTCACTTCTTTTATGAGAATTTTTTTTGGATTAGATTGTGGGGAAAGCATAAATACTGAAAAAAATATCTTAATAAAAAAAATTTATACCTGCATTGGGCATAAATAAAATTTAAACATTTATTGGGGCAGTTTATAGTTTTTAGTGGATCCGTTCATACAGTATATTACCCTGAGAATTGCTTTCTTATGTAAATAGTTGACCTGAAACTAAAACTGATTAACATAATAATAAATTCATGACACCTTTGTAGTTATACTCTAAATTATTCCCCCGTGTAGGGTCTAGAAACTGATTTTTCCGTACATGATCTACTTTTATCCAAATTTAAATGCATTAGGGGGATTTTTATGTAAAATAAATTGCGTGAGAACGACAAACTCGTAGTAATGAGAGAGAAACTGGGCTGGGACACGTTTGTTTTAATTAGCCGCGAGGAATTGAAATGTCATAAAAATTTAGAAATCAGGTTTCCCAAACCAAAAATTGGACTAACATTGCGATTTTTTAAGCAAAGAACTTTTCATTTTTCATTTACAACGATCGAAACTTTGTAAAATTTACGTCGAAAGCCCTGAAACTTAAACTATAAAACCAAAACTTTTATGTTAAAATCTACCGTAAAATGGGGTTACTTTGACTTCACGGGTTACTTTGTACGTTTTGTTACTTTTGTACGTTATGGGGCTACTAATTTTGTTTCATTTTCAGTATAGGTACCTACCGAAATTATGTTTATTTTATTTTTATGCGATATAAAAGCCATAACATATTAAATAACTACTTATTTAATTTTTTTAAGTTATACAGGGATGCGCCAGAACTCGCGCCCCAGAGAAAAATGCCATATAACGTAAGATACCAGGAACATGGAAAAATGTTAAAAAAATTAGAGATCATTAGTATCATTAAATAGATATAAAAAAATGACAAATGTCAAAATTAAAAATTTTTTTTATTCATGTTCCTGGTATCTTACCTTACTTGAAAAATTTCTCTGGGGCGCGAGTTCTGGCGCACCCTGTATATTTTATGTTTTGTGTTTAATAAGTTTAATAAAGTTTATTTACATCATTATATTGCATATTTTTAGTTCTAGTGTGTCAAGGTACCCCTCAGGCTAGCATAACTTTGATTTTCAATGTTATTGTAATTAAAGTAACTGTCAAAATAGCCCCGAAATCGGGGTTTCTTTGACACCAAATTTTTATTTTTATTTTGGAAAAACTATAGCCTTGAGGAAAAATTTTAAGTTTGTTTGTTAAAGCAAATATTGCAACAAATAAAAAATTTACATTAACAAAACCTCTCAAACTATGTCAAAGTATCCCCGATTTACGGTAATTTAATTACTTTACTTTGCGAAAAAATCGGCAGATTTTAAAATCACCTCGATTTTACGTCACAAAAAGTATCATCTATTACATCTCCAACTATTCAAAGCGATTTTAAATACAAAACGTTTTTACTCATTTGTAAAAATTAAATATTGAGTTTTTGTTATTAATCTCTGATTCAAGACTAAAACAACAAATCGGTCTATGTGAATTTTCAACCACCCGAAAATTACCTAAACTGTTTACGTGATGTGTTAAAGAGTGTGTTTTAAAATTATAAATTTAATTAATTAAATAAATTTGCAAAAATGTGCAATTTGTATTCAGGTGCGTTTATTTGCCTTAAACTGCAATTAATTATTGTGTTATCGGTAGTAAAACCACTAAACAATGTTGTGATAAACTGTATGCATGTAGTTTTATGCAATTTACATAATTAAGAAGGGAATTTTACATTTTTAAGAAATTTTAAAATTGGTGGATGCGCCGGGATAAATATTTTCAAACCTTAAAAACAATTCCAGACATTTAATGTTAATGTCTTATTTATTACAGAAAACATAGAAATTGAAATATACATTTTTAGACTCCTAAAATGTTTTATATCTAACCACAAAAAATTAAAAATAACTTTTTGATTAATTTGTCATTACTTAGGTCATTTCCTTTGCGTGGTTAAACATCAAATTAATCTGTAATTAACATTTGGTTACAGTTAAATTTTCTGTAAACAAGCCTTCACATTACAATTTTTTCAAGTTTAAAGCTTTTTCGTTTAAAACTTGTATATTATCGATCTTAACAATTTTGAGGTAATTTACAATGAACTTGAATACATGAAACCCCAGACTCTTATCGCCCAAGATCTGCTCTCCTTTTTTATTTATCGATTAAGAATTTACATAAACGCCCAGATTAATCCTTAAGTATTTCGTGTAATAAACATTTCATTATTGGTATACAGACTATTATTGTGCTATTTTATTCTCCATCACTGTTATTAAAGATTACTTTTGACACGAAACTTCAACATGTAACTCTTGCATACAGTTAGTGTTATTACCTGATAAAAAAAGAAATTTTTTAAGAGATATATTTGAAATTGTGGAATTTTCTGTCGTTGAAAGTGGACAAAGACTTTGTTTGTGTTTCAATTACCGATCGGTAAATTTTACCTACAGTAAAAAATTTGCAATTGAAAATTGTTTTAATCCGTGCCTTAATAAGGGCACTGTACAAACATGTCACGCGAATCGTAATTTTATCAAAATAGCGGCGTTTATAGCTTTCTATTGTTTGCAATCGCGAAATCTGCATAAAAACTCGCGATAACCCAAACAAATCATTAATTTTGGCCACTTTCAGGCAAATATCTTGATCAAGTGTATCAAAAATTCCCACTTTGGGCGATGTAAATTCCCAAAAGCGCATCTCCGCGATGAAATCCGCGAATGAGTCACCGCATGCGCGATAACAATCAGAAAAACATTGCGGCCGACTATTCCGGAAACGACCAATCCGGGCAGGCAAGCGTTCCCAGAAAGAGGCCAACGTAACTCCGGACGAACTCCTCGTTTCATTGGCCGATGACACACCATTGCCAACCAATCCAATAACGTGCCGCGTCTAACCAAACCCCGGAGTCAATAAATGACACGAGCAACAAGTTTAGTTCGACGCGACTATTGTTGTGGCCACACTGATTTTTGAGCTTTTAAGGACACGACTGTGGCCGGAAATGGACATTTGAGCCGAGACGTGACCGAGAGAATTTTTTGGTAAAGTGATTCAAGGGCTGGTATTGAACTAAGGGCCTGCACCTGCGTCCTGTGCTCGATTGACCCTTTTATGGAGCAGGTTACTGACCCTTGGGAATTTTGTGACACTAATTACGTGTGAAATAGCCGGAGCCGGTAGTGCATGACGAGGGAGTGAGGAGACAACAACCATGGTAAGTGATAAAAATTAATCAAATAGCATTGTGATTTATTTTTTTATTATTATTTTTTAATTGATTTCGCCCGGCGCATCCACCAATTTTGATAAATAATTACTCTGACTCGCAACTTAACTATACCCATTTTACTTACATTTTATAATTATTTTATTTGTTGTTATCTTAAATATTAATGTGTCAAAAATTAAAAATTATTCTTAAAAATTATTATTTCATTGTTTCATTCTATTTTTTGCAATTTGAAAACTCGAAGTTTTGAGAGTTTTCTTGTACTTTAGGACATTTTATTTAATTTTTTTATTTAATGTTAATAAGCAATTAGTCCAGCTCAACTGTATCCCATTTTACTTTAAATTTTCTAATTATTTTATCTATTATCTAACATTTCGAGGTGTAAAAAGAAAAAAATAATCTCAAATTTCTTTATGACTAACATATTTTTTGCAATTAAAAAAAAATTATATGAATAATTTTATTGTTCTTTAAGGCTGCAATTAAAAATTTTATCTCCAAAATGACTGTACCACATGTACTTATATTTTATAATTGTTTTATCTTAAATTTTAATGTGTCAAAAATGAAAATTACACTCAAATTATTTATTATTATTTCATTATTGTTTGTTTTGTCCTATTTTTTGCAATTAGACAACTCGTAGAGTTTTAAGAGTTTTATTGTGCTTTGACACTGCTATTTAATTTTATTGTTTTTTACTCAATTTTGATAAACAACTATTCCAACTCAACTGTACTTACTTTATATTTTCTAATTATTTTATTATTTAACATTTGGAGGTGTCAAAAAAGAAAAAAACGATCTCAAATTTAATTATTTTATTATATTTTTGCACTTTGCAAATATAGTTTTATTGTTCTTTACGACTACTATTAAGAATTTATAAATTTTTATGCACAGCCGACAATAAAGCCATTTAACCCAACCAAGTTGTCCCGTTTAAAAGTTTGAGGGCGCCAAAGTTTAAAAATAATTTGGTTTTCCTTTATCTTTTTAATGGATTAATCGATTTTTATAAAATTTGATTCAGGCAATTTAATATCAAAACCACTTGTTTTAGAGCAATTTTTTTATTTTAATATTATTGTAAATGTACTTACTTATTAACAACTTAACACATTTTGACCCATATTTTTGTTATACGTAATCCGAGTGGCGTAATTCTTTTTTTTATTCGAAAGGTACATTATTTTTAAACAATTCTTGTAACTTATAAAAATTTTCTATCGGCCTTGGTTTTCGAGTAAAAAAATTATTTAAGCAAAAAAAAAAATTTCAGACGTTGGCCATTTATTATTATTGTTTTTAAAAATGTATTAAGAAAATTTTAGGTATTGATGATTTTATGTATGTTTGTGTTAGTTAACAATAAGGTATTTAATTAATTTCAACAAAAAAATATAATTTTATTGGCGTTCTCTGGTGCAACTTTATTGCAAAATATTTTTTTAAATAAAAATCTTGTTTATTTTTTTATAATCCACAGAGATGATTATTAATTGATGATTATTAATTATTTTAACCTAAATAAAGCAACAACAATATGCTTTACTGTAGAGGAATTCAAGTACAAAAGGAGAATTTTTAGATGTAGGAATTTTTTAAGGTTAATTGTAAAAATTCAAATTGTCAAAAAATTCTAGTGATTATTTTTGTTTAACAACTTAATATCAATCAATTATCAATTTTTTTATTTTATTAAATTTTATACCTTATTACCAGTATTTTCACTTCTTTTATTTTTGGTAACTGGTTTTCTCATTTTTTATAACAGTTCTTTTATTTATTTATTATTTATTTCCCGGCGCATTCGCCACTTTCTTGTATAACTTTTTGTTTTGTTGACCTAATTTTGGTGTGTTTTTAGTCGGTGGCTCCGTCCCGCGTCGGTAGCCGCATGCAGCAGTACGAAGATGGCGTCAACGACGAAGACCACACCACAGCAGATGGCGCCATGGCCGTCCCCGGCGGCGGCGGCGGCGGCGGCGAAGACGTCGCTCCTGCAACGCCGCGCCACGATAAGGCGCCGAACTCCCTCAGTGCTTCTTTGGCGCTAGTTGGCAACGGCGCGCATCCTGAAAGTGACGACGACGACGCTGAAGACGACGCCGATCCTCCCAACCCCGTCAACGGGGGCTACTGGCGGCAGGGCGCCTCGCGAGCTGCGAGCCCCACCATGGCTGATAACGCCAGCGACTCGTCCATGATCCCCCCGGCGAGACCCAAAAGCCGCGTCGAGATGGCCACCAGCAGGTACAATAACTTATCCTACTGGAAGGCTCGCAGAGTCCTTTTTTACAAAAACGGGGACCCGTTTTTCCCCGGAATCGAGTTCCGGTTCAAGCCCGGAAGAGATATCGTCAGTCTGGAGTCGCTGTTGGACAAGTTGTCGTTACGCATGGACTTGCCACGTGGTGCAAGATATATTTTTTCCATGGATGGGGATAGGAAGTACAGGCTGGATGAGTTGGAGGATGGGGCTTCCTACGTCGTGTCTTCGTATAAGACGTTTAAGGTAAGTTTTAGAATAAAATTGGTGTTTTTTTTCGGGAAATTTTTTGATGTAATTAATGAATCATGACAGGAAGTTAGGTCACCACGAAAATACCAATAATTTGAAGTGAAAAACTTGTCACGGGATTATAATGTATGTATATTATATGTATGTATGCTATGTTTGTATGCTGGTGTATGAAAGCCTTGAAAATTACTTAAAATTGACTCTTAACTACTTTTGTTGCTTTTAAACGACTTTGCTCTAAATAAGTATATATTACAACCATTTTCTTCAAACAGAGACTTCTGTAAATATTTTTTTTATGAATTCTGATATATTCTGTGTATTTTGAAAAAAAAAAGAAAACAAGTAATTATAGAAATTGATTAAAATGCTAAGATAAGAAACGTGATTGCGAGAAATTTAAAATGATAAAAAGTCCTATTATTTTTAACAGGTGTTTGGTAATAACCTGTTGCTATATATCTTAAAAATGTCATTACAAAGTGAAATAAAGGTAAATGCAGAAAATATTCACTGTTTGAAACACATTTTCTACAATCTCTTCACCTGAATATTTTTACAAACAGGATATTAAGAAAGTTAGCAGGTAGACGATAAGCTTATCAACCCTTTCTTAGAAAACTTTCTAATAAACAAATACTCGATTGCAAATGTCAATATTTGTCTCATTTTCGCGGCTTTACGAAATTTTGTGGTACAACGAATTGGTTACGTACTTCGAAGTAGTTCCATCTAGTACTATTAATTTTGAAATCATCTTCAATACCCGTAAAATATTTTTTGATTTTATGATACGGTTTTTGAACCATGTACGAGCCCTAACAACTAAATGTTTGGACGAATCTCTTTTTAATAATAAATTGCACCTTAGGCTAATAGAATTGTAATTAAAAAACAATCCAGTATAGAGATATTGGAAAAAAATATTTATTTAACTGAAAATCTAAATACTAATTATTTTAAAACAATTGAGACCTACAACAAAAACAGCAAAAACACGTGACAACTAAATGTTTGAACAAAAACAACAAAAAAATTCAATAACTTTTATCGTCTCTTTTTGCTTTCTCGCTGGCATATTTTTCACAAGAGTCTCACAAAATTCTGGAGATAAAGAGTCCCAAGTACTTTATATTTTATTTTTTAAATCATTCATTGTCTTCTGAGAGTGATTTCTTTTTCGTGCCAAAGAGGTTCAATGATTTTGAATCAGAGTCATTTGCTATCCAGGACTTATCACCATACTATTGCTTAGAAAGTTGTGCAGTATGACAAGAAGCATCATCTTGATGAAAAATATAGTCACCAGGGTTGGGCGCGTAAACTACACAATTTAAAATACATGGTTGTTTACATGTAAACAACATCATTGTTTACTTATCAATAAAACCTGTAAAGAACGTAAGCAACGCAAACGATAGAAAATGTATGATTTATTTTCAACTTGATGTTCTTCATGGTAATATTATTGCTTTCTTAAAAGAATTCCTAGTTTCCTTGTCACTACTTGTTTTAAGTTTTTTAATTTCGATATTAAGACTGCATAGGTACAAAGATAAAATTGTGAATAAGCAAACCGTCAGATTTTAAACGTCTCTCAGGGGAATTTTTTAAAAATGTTTTGCATTTTAATGTAGAATAGTTTTTCATTAATTTAAAGCCTAACTGCCTAAAATAGATAATTATAAATGATTCTACATTCTGACTCACTCCTCATCTGCACTAGAATGCTTATAAAATCTCAAAATAATAGTCCATTGTTTACATAATTATTCCTTAGCATAAACGTAGAGAATCTTATTTTACGCGTAAATGCCCAACTCTGTTAGTCACTATTAATAATAATAGTGATAGAGTAAAATAAAATTAAGTCCGAATTGAAGAACGAAATTTATTTTTGCGTATTATGTGTACAAGCAATTTATTTACAATCTTAACAATCTACAACATCTCTTAACATTCCTCTTATCGTCATTCTGTGGTCGTCGTCGTTTCATTCCAACAGTCCAAGCGAATCCAGGGGGCGTTTTCGTCACTGTCGGAGCTCTAATTCGATAATTTTTCATCAGATTGGTTCCATATTTTTTCGTTGGTCCTGTCCGCTCAATGGTGTACAACAAACCCGGATTTAAAATCTCCTCTCGTTGTCTTTTACGTACGGCGATCAGTTCTTCTTGAACTCTTTTTTTCAACACTGGATCTTCTTGGCATATTTTACTCCACCCACCATCCGCCTGAACAACACTCAAAAGAGACAAAGGATCCAAAAAACTGAAACAAACAAAATATTAGTAAAATAAACATAAGAAATATAATTTTCACTTACCGAAAAATGGTGGACCATATCTCCACGGGTAATTTCACGGGCACTCGAACCTCCGGTAGACCAAAATTGGCAGCGAGCAGGAAAGGCAACAGTTGATACATCTTCGAAAGCAAGGGTTAAACTGATTTTGTGTTGCGGTGGCCGCTGTTTATATACAGCGCATCCCCCTTCCCTTTTAGAAAGTGCGACAATTGGGGTGGTAGGGAGGGGAGTTTTTTGAAATACTTTTTCACCCCACTACTAATTTAACTATTTATAATACCAATTTGCGATATTATAAAAACTGAAATAAAAAATAGCAAAGCGTAGCAAAATGTTAGTCAAAATTCAAATGTTTACCATTTTAGTCATTCTTATTGTGTTAATTATTTTGGTTATTATAGCACTTTTTTATACTTTATTTATAACTCCTTTATTTTGATTATTGTATTTTTGTTGTTACATGTTTTTTTTAAATAAATATGTTATACTTACTTTATGTTTTTTATTTTTTATTCCACCTGTTTATTACTTTGTATTAAAAAAACAAATCCAAGTGAAATACATGATTATATTTACACTGGTTTTGTAAAAAAAAATGCTAGCAAAAATTCTAAATTTCCATTTTATGACCTAGGAATTCACTCACATATCATCAAAAACAATTTCAAATAATTTACGACACGTGTTTCTGGAAAAAGTAAAAGTATGTCACCCACACAAGCATTCCAGAAGCTTGATTATCGCACAGTTACCCTCTTAAAAAGGTTAAACAAGCAATAAAAGGGTGACTCTGTTGCTATTTTTGTCCATAATTTTGCCACGTCTACCCATTTGGTCTATTTCAGGCAAGGGAATTTTTTTTTATTGGAAATAATAAAATCTTCGGTGATTTCAATTCTCTAGTATGACAGGAAATTAATTTGTCGTTGATGTTTCTAGAACGATTTTCGCCTGTAAATCCTACGCAAATGTCCAAATTTGTTTAGTTATAATAACCCGTTGACCTGTGCATGTGATGCAGCCCACAAGCACGTGCAGAAAATCAATATTTGTGTGGAAAGTGGAAAAGAACTCTTTGTATTGTTAGTCTGGATTTATTAACCCCAAATAAGGCGAGATTGCTTGTAAAACTGCCTCTCTTTAATCGTTTTATTTTTATATTTGCAATTTGATAATTTAATAATTGTGATTTATTTCGGGTCTGCCTTAAGCTCACAACGTCGCAAAGTAGATCTAGATTGGTATAGTTGAGTTCTTATTTGGCACGTGACCTCGTCCACTTGAAAGATAAGCTGACCACATGCACGCACGATATATTGTAAACACTTGTATACAGCCCAGTCGAGAAAAATCCCTCGTAATGAAAAAATAACATTTCTATCTTGTAATAAATTACCCTCGTGAATATTCACGACCGGGAGACCCCAGAATGGACTGTACCTTTTAAAGAAATCAATAAGAAACGTGCTTAAAATCCTATTACTCATTTTCCGACTCTTGTAGAGCGAAAATGCACATTTCCCTAATGGGACGACCACTCCTGCAAATGCATGGAATTTCAGACCTCTGGCCTAATTCTTTTCGCCAATCAAGATAAAAACAAGAAAAACTATTTATAACTTTCGCAGACATGAGATTGGATGTTAACCCAAATAAATCAGGTTGACAACTGACCCATATTACTTTAATATCCATCATTAAAATACAACCTCGAAACTTGTCGCCCCCGAATGACACGCAACGACAGTCGAAAAGAATTTTCCTCTCAAGATTTGTCAAATCTAGTGAGAGTGTAGACAGTGAGCTTTTCAATGAGCTTTTGAATAAAATCACGAATGTAAACAAAGTCGGCTCGGGCGGCATGCATGCGAGCTTTGAGCTTACGCAGAGGGGGAAAGGGAAATGGCGATTTCAAGGCCAAGACGTTTTCGCTCCGGTTTCCTGAGCTTTGAGGTCAGTGCGTTCCTGTCATTAGGACACACGCTACATGGTTGGGATGACGAAGAAAAAGTTTTTCCGAGTTATTATTGAGTGAATTAGCCTTGTCGCTAAGTAATGTCGGTTTTGAAGGAAATTGCACGGCGAAGGACGCAGGATTTTAATGAGAGGGTGGAGAAGCATGCATATTTCAAGTAATTCCTCAAAATGCTGCTAATTTGAATAATATACATGATGCAAGGAAATTTGTTTGGAAAATTATAACGTGTTTTGATAATTTTGTGCTTGATGTGATTATTATTAAAGATATGAGAACGACAAAAAGCGAAAATAATTCATTTTAATTTAGTGTTTTACTTGGAAAGCCTAAATTAACAACAAAAGAGAAAAGTCTAAATTATGGCTCTTCACATAAGTATAATTAACAATTATAAATTGTAAATAATACAAACTCGACAGATTATGTACTTTGTACTTTGGGCAAACTTTTATGCTAAATATTATGTAAGTATCTTTTACTGAACCTTAATTTAGGCTTTATTTAAATTGTTGTTTAAAAGTAAAAGTAGGATGTATGATATGTTAGTTCTGGACCAGGAAAAAATATTTGGTCCTTATTAAAAATTAGAAAATTAATATAGCCCAAAATTTGACATTTGTCGGCTTATACTTAGGGCCACCCTAACTACAGGGCTAAATGGGCTACAGCCCCGGGGCGCCAGCCTTTTTCAAAATGACTATATTTTTGTCAAAAAAACATGTTATTTCAAAAACTAAGCAAAACCAATCAATAAAATGTTAGCTCTTAAAGACATATTGTAATAAAGTTTCATCCAAAAATACCAAGAAACATATAGTTTTTTATTAAAAAAAAACAAGTGTATTGTAACTTATTTTAGAAACACGCTGTATAGTTGAAAATAATTTCAGGCCTTTGCACTAGATTAGTATGTATCAATAGAGTATTTTTTTTTTTAATTTTAGCATTTCAATCAGGTCAATAATGAACTTTACCAATTCGCTGGGGCACTCGGTATATTGACTCTTTAATTTTTGTAGAAGCTTACCCTCTCTCCGCTGTCTCTTTCTTGTATTTTCTTATGAAAGGCACATTATGTTTAGTAGCCCAATGACACCAAATATTTTAGGACGGCCCTGCTTATACTATACAGGGTGTGTCAGAACTCGCGCTTCAGAGAAAAATTTCAAGTAAGATAAGATCTTAGGAACATGGAAAAAATGTTTAAAAACTTCTATCTGTCAAAAAAATTTTACATTTATTTTTTGCCATTTGCTATTTTTTATGTCTATTTAATGATATTGATGATCTTGTATTGTTTTTTTTAAATTTACTAGTAAAGGTATACAAATTTTGCCAATAAGAGCCACCAACAACATTAAACATAGTTACAATTTAGGATACAGCTTCCTTGTTTCCACTTCTAATAGCCTGTAGCAAAAAAACTTGGAAAATTATTTTTCCAACACAAATAAATAGTCAAAGTACAAATTTTAAATTCTCATAACTTCGAAATTTTTATAGATGGAATTTTTTCAATGTTCCTGGTGTCTTACCTTACAGGCCATTTTTCTCTGGGGCGAGAGTTTTGGCGCACCCTGTATTAAAAGCCATTTAATTTTTTTTTTAATTTTTGAAAACTCTACTGCGTCTGCCGTTGTTCAAAGAACAGCCAGTATAAAAAATATTTTAAACACTATTTTTGTACAAAAAAAAATTAAAAAACTAAAATCCTTGCTTTTATTATTTTAATTATTTTTTCCACACTTTTATCAATTTATTTGTAATTCATTTCGTGACACTTTTGCAAATCAGCACAAAACTTAATTATTCCATGTCCTTGTCTCTGTTTTAGCCTCTAGTTTTATGATCGATTAAAATCAAGATTTCAAACAAGTAAAAACTTGTAATTGTAATTTGTCTTATAATTAAATTACAAACAAAGACGCCTTAACCCATTTTAATACTTACAAATAAATAGTCTAGTGTTTTAATCAGTTTTGTAATTACCATATTTTTATACGTTATTAAAAACCATAATTACCTTTGTCAGCACGTAAATGGTACACGTAAAATACATGTAGCGTATAATGAGTAAAAAATTTGTGTTTTTGATATGTAGTCCCATTACCGGGTTAGAAACCCCTTTTTGAAGGCCAAAATTATAATATTTGCCTCTCCCAAATTCTATTGATAATATAATTTGCCCACATTTAATAGATATATCCCGAAACGTGATTTATTATCCCTAATACCGCAGACTTTCCCTTTCTCATAAAAGGAAACATCCTGAAATTTCCCCATTTATCACCCCATCCAATAAAGGAATCACAAAGAAAAATGTAAATAGGGACTTTGCTAACCCGTTATTATAACCCTGGAGTCGCTTATTACATTTTCTTTTTAATCAGAGCGCGAAATAGTCAATTTTTCCTACTTAATGCCAAATAAATTACTGCGACGTGTCCTTGCCGAGATTCTCATTTTTGAGAATAATTTATGTGCATACATTACACTATATTCTGAATTACAACCAAGCAATGCCGCAAAATTATCTTTACTGCACTTTAATTAAAAATGGTGGATGCGCCGGGCGAATTTTGCGTTTTCGGCCCTCAAAAATGTCGATATATTTCGATACGAAATTAAAGTCGGTCACGAAATGCACCCCTCCAAGCCTTCATTTTTGACCTTGAGCTCTCCCCTCCACCTCTCATTAGCACAATCAGTTTATACATTATTTATCACAGTAACAATCGTTCGTGTCAGACTTTAGCTCATTCTTTCTTTGCGTTCGGTTCGAGTTGCTTGAGTTTTGTGACCAATGTTTGCTTGTGAGCTTGACGAAGATACGCCGTTTGCTGTCGTGACTGTACCCAACATGGTAAAGTCCCGATGGGCTTCAACGCGGATTGATTGATTGGCCGTTTTGCAGGCTGCTAGCTATGGGAAGAAAAACGGGATTTGGTACGCGGCTCCGGGAGGACAAGGCTGGAGTAAGGCTACGAGTCGGAAAGCTTCAATTGCAGAGACTGATGCACCACCCCCGGGGGGAGGGACGATTAAGCCCAGTTCCGGGAGAGTGATTAGGATAATTAATAATATGGACCACACTGTTCAGGTAAAAATACAATCGGAATGTTTTTATTTATTTATATGCATGCATATTTCACAATAGTTTTTTTACAAGTATGAATTAAGTTTCTGTAACGATGCTATCATGCACCTTATGATCTTTAATTTTTTGTTTTCGTTTCTTATGTTTGAGTTTTCTGTGGTATAAGTCTCCATTCAATTATAAAAATTAAAGAATTCTAAGTAAATTTCAATAAGGAAAAATATATTTTGTAGAGTTTAATAAAGCTCAGCATTTTTTTTTTCTTCAAGGTTGTAATATATAAAAAAAAACCATAGTGTGATGCGTACTTAAATCTCAAAATGGCGACTGCTTCGCATTTTAAGGTTTTTTTTCTGCTTTAACGTTGGTTTTGTGACCAAAATGTTAAAATTATAGATGGATTTGCCATTTTGTTATTTGGAAAACTCAGTCATCAAACCGAATTTAGATTGGGTTAAGTAATTCATTTCATCGCAAAATTTTTCTCATATTAAGTAAAAAATGTTATGCAAACTGATATTATTTTATTCCTTTAAAAGTAAAAAAACATTCTAAAAAACAAAAATATGATGTAAAAACACACGCTACAAATCAAAAATTCCATTGAAGTCCATTCAAATTTAAAATCTTTGATTTTTATGTTTTCTAATTTTTTAACTTTTTTGAACAAAGTTGAACAGTTTCTTGTCATCTATTGCTTGCTTCCTTTTTAATGGAAACCTGTATATTTTATTATTTTTGGATTCCTGGTTAAATTGTCTTTCAGCAAGCTCACTTACTATTATTTATTATTAACTTTTAATTTTAGGCAATTAAAAATTACATTAATTAAGGTAGGATGTGGAAAGAATAGAACATTTTTATTTATTTTATCTAAGATAGCAAACGATTCATAACAAAAAACTGTTCAATTTTGATCCATGATTTGGGGCGTTTTTTATAATACAGCATGTATATTTATTATTTTAAAATTTAGTTTTTATATTTTTTATTGTTTGATAACAAAAAATCTAATCCGAAACAAATTGTTTTCAATTTCAGTAACAATAATCGTAACAATTATAGCACTAATGTTATCAAACACAAATAAGAGACAAACGCTCTTATTTTTTAAATACAAAAAACTTTAAAAAATTGATCGTGATTTAATATTTCACTAATATCGATTTTGATTTCAAATTTGCTATTTATTTTACTTCATTGCAAGTTTGGAAAGTTATTTTTTCTCCATCCAGATTTATTGTTATTTTATAAAGAAAAAATTAATGTTTTTATAACTAGTAAAAATTGTTACCATTGTAATTCTCAGTTTTAAATGTAGACTTAAAAAATGTTTGAATCCTAGCTTTAAAAACTCTTAAACACTTTTACTGGTAATAAAAACAATATACAGTATGTCCCCGGAATGAGTTTACCCGAAGAAAAAAATTTTTTATTTTTTATTTTTCGCCAAAACTGCAAAGGAAAAACATTTTTGCTTTATCTGAAACGAGCAAATCTGTAATTAAAACTTCATTATTCTAACTCAGTATAGAAAGAAAAGTTCATTTTTCGCTTGATTTTGGAATAATTTTTCTCTGCTTATTAAATACCATCACAATTGCGGATTTATTTTTTTCACAATGATGTTACTTTGACAAATGAGTTTTCGCAAGTGAAATACAGAGTGGTTATAAATGATTTTCATCTAGCCAGCTATGAATTTTCCATGTAAAATAAAAAATGCCGCTTTACGAAAATAGGAGTACCTACTTATTGTAACTCAAAATTAAAAAATCGCCGTTTACTAAGCGTCCACTTCGAAAATAGACTTCAATTATAAACTTGTTTTCTTCCAAAGTATACATTATTATCAATTAATATTGGAAATTAGTTGAAACAATAAAAATTTAATTAACAACAATTTATTATTAATTAATAAGTGACACTAATGACAGAACTAGAGCTTTCAAAAAAGTAGAGCGGCACAAATAAAGTTACATGCAAAAAAATTCCAAAGCTGGCTAGATGAAAATCATTTATAACCACTCTGTACCAAAAATGTTTGTGAAAAACAAGTAGAAACTCAAAGAAACAGCTCTAAGATAAGAAACAAAGTCATTTTGAACAACAAATATCATTATTTAATTAATAAATTAATTGTCAAAGTGACATATAGGTGTCAAATAAATAAAACCGCCAATGTGTTAGGACTTAAAAAGCATACAAAAACCAAGAGAAAAATTAACTTTTCTTTTCAATGAATCAGAATAATGAAGTTTTAGTTACAGATTTGCTCGTTTGAAGTGAAGCAAAAAATGTTTTTCCTTTGCAGTTTTGGCGTAAAATCAAAGATTTTTTTTTCCTCTTGTAAACTCAATCTGGGGACATACAATTTTTTTTCTAATTTTGCGCATGTCATTGTTGGTTGTAGGAAAAAGTAGCAAGTTTTATTGTGATTGTCATTTAATATATTTCACTGATCGATTTTTGATTTTAATTTCCAATTTCTCTTTAATTTTTTCTATCACATTATTAAACTAATTAAACACAGTGTAATGGTAGTAATTCTTTTCTGACATTTTATGAAATTCGATACTTTTTTCGAAAATTTATTTCACTTCTTTGCAAGTATGAAAAGTAATTTTTTCTTCAGCTGGATTAAAACATGTCATTTTTAATGTCATCTTTGAAAGATAAAATTGACTTTTTTATGACTAAGAAAAAAATTGTTAGCATGGTAATTCTCAGTTTTATTCTAAGACTTATTTTTTTATTCCTAGCTTTAACTTTTAATCCTAATAAAACAATATACTTTTTTTTCTAATTTTGCGCATGTTATTGTTGACTGGAAAAAACTGATAATTTTAATGCTATAGCAAAACAATAAATGTACAGTAGGAGACAAAATACTTTGGTCGTCACTTTTCTGACACCTTAATGTAATTCAAGCTTTAACGTTAAAATGAATGACAATTTGAAAAAAAAATATGTACATACAACTTGTCAACTATGATTGACAGTAGCTAAAAGTAAGTCCTAAAGCATACTTTACAATTTAATGTCACTCAAGTGACATTGACGACCAAAGTATTTTGTCTCCAACTGTATGTACTTACTGTAAAAGTTGATCTGAATAATTTTTTAATACTACTAATTTTTTTTTAAATTTATTAAAACGATATTTTTTGTTGAATTCAAACGACTCTTTTTCATGTTGACCCTTTAACAGTTAAACCATCTCTTCGATTTTGTGCTCGACGCTCGTTTTTTTGACTTAAAACTTTCTTTCAACTAGACCTTTAATTTTTTTTATGGTGGTAATTAATAAATGACACTGTTCTTGAAATCTTTAGTGCCGCGTGCTGTTGAACTTGCGCACCTCCCAGCCCTTCGAGGAAGTCCTCGAAGACCTCGGCCAAGTTTTGAAAATGAACGGTGCGAAACGCATGTTCACAGTGTCAGGTCAAGAAGTGCGCAGTTTTTCACAGTTACGAAACGAATTCGCTGATGTGGACACTTTTTATTTGGGAGTTGGAAGTGTGGGAGGTGGGGTTGGGGGTGTGATGTTATCACCGGTCCGAAGGGCTCGCTCACGCGCTCCTCAAACGGCGATCGTGGAGGATATGAGTAAACAAAGACGGGCGCGGAGCAAAAGCCGACCTAGGGCCCTCTACGCCCCCGAAAGTGAAATAGTCCGAACCAATGGTGAGTTAAAATTTGCTCAAGTTTGGCTTAAAGTGCTCTTAGATTATACGTTGTTAGAAGTACTGAAGGAGGAGCCAGTGAGGGTCACTATTAAAGGCTTGAGGAGGACGTTTTATCCTCCCATACATCATGCACCGATGGATAATACTCCCCCTGAGAAGAAAATGCAATTGGAGTGGGTGTATCCTTTAGTTTTAAGTTCAAAAAACTCGATTTGCATGTCTGAGGGCAATTCTTTTCAAGGGAAAAAGGCGGATCAATGTAATGAAGGTTTGAGTAATTAAAATGAAATTTTTCCTTAACTGGATTAGTTATGGGTATCGTGGGACTGACTCGAGGAGAAATCTATGGGTCCTCCCAACGGGAGAATTGCTTTATTTTGTTGCAGCTGTTGCAGTGATGTATGACCGAGACGAAGAGGCCCAAAGGCACTACACGGGTCACACTGAAGACATCCAATGGTAAATTTCTAGTTTTTTTCGTAAAAAAAATTTAAATTTTGTGTCAGTATGGACTTGCATCCCTCGCGCGAGATGGTGGCCTCGGGTCAAAGGGCAGGCCGAAACCGCAAAACCCAAGCCCATATCAGGATCTGGAGCACTGAAACCCTCCAAACGCTCTATGTTTTCGGAATGGGGGAATTCGAAGTTGGGGTGGCAGCAGTGGCCTTCTCACAATTGGTAAAATTTATTTCTGATTTTTGATTTGTCATAACGATTTTGTTAGAATGGCGGTAGCTATGTCCTGGCCGTTGATGGGGGCCGAGAGAGCATTTTGTCGGTGTGGCAGTGGCAATGGGGACACCTTTTGGGGAAAGTAGCTGTAAGTCTGTTTTACTTAATTCATTCATATACATCTACATAAACACCAGTTTCGTGCTGTCTTTTGCATAATGTAGTGACGCAGACGTCGGTGAACGAAAGATATGATCCTTGAACTCGCGCAGGAAATTTTCAGGCGATTTTTTCCGTACTTGTCGGGTACTTAAAACTGACATTTTTACGTGGCAGATTAAGACTTTCAGCACCTGTTTTCATGAATATGCAAGCATTAGATTTATTGATGGGTGAGAAAAAGTCTCGCAAACGTCAGAGGTGAAAGGGTAAAGACTTTCACTACACTAACAATATCTTTTACTTTTATTTCTTATTTTAACCGCAATTATGTCATAATAAACTCCACAAACATTAGAATATTAAATTCCTTGTAGAAAAGAATTAAACGAAGGTTATACATCAATGAAACATCTTTTTTATGTTAGCATGTTTTATTTTTCTTTATTTTATCTTTATGTAATTATTTTAATGTTTGGTATTTATTATTGTTGTCACCACTCATATTATTTTTTATTTTTGCGAGTGATTTTATTGTAGAATAGTCCTTTCGTATTACTTTGTTCCAAGGTCAGTTTTTTTATTGATTAAGCTAAAAATATTTTTTTAGATCTTTGTGATTTTCCATTTCTACACTTTTTTTTAATTTAATTTCTTTTACATTTATATTGATAACAAGTTTCCCATAATTAATAAAGGGAGAAAATAACTGACAAATGAAAGGTGGTAGAGAAATGTTTACATACAGGTGTCCCAGAAGACTCAGAAAAGTAAGATAACCAAGATACCAGCAATAAAAATTGTTAAAAAAATTAAATCTATTTATTGGCAATGTTTTTATATCTTTACTGAATAATTATGAAAAAACATATTTAAAATCTTGGGTAACAATAATAAGTAAACATAAAAAAGGTCAAATGTCAAAAAATAAATGTCAATTTTTTTGGAATTTTTAACAGGTAAGAATTCTTAAATATCGTTCCTATGTTTACCTTATCTTACTTGGAATTTTTCTCTGGTCTGCTGATTTTGGGACACCTGTATAAAAATAAAAATAGTTAGAAAAATATATCACATAATATTATTGATAAGTAAAACCATAGTAACTTAATCTGCAAACATTCATAAACATTCTGGATATTATAAATACAAAAATTTTGTGCTTATTAAATTTATTTACTTTTAATTTTTTTATTATGATTGAATTTAGATAAACGAGACTTTCAACATTTTAGAATATAAAGTAGGTTTTTATAGTCTTATTGAATAATAATAGCGCCATTACATATGCATTTCTCAGGACGTAACGTGATTCATTATTTCACGCCCATTTCAAAAGTGCATTTTTCTATTGATTTACTTGTCCCTTATTCACAATTTCTTTTCTTATTTTTTGTAATTTGTTAGTACATATATGTTTTAATTCAAGCATTTCGTATTTGTGTTATATTATTTTCAAACAATAAACACATTTGTTTTGTTTTCTTTTTGTTTTATTATTAAATTTTAAATATTGAAATCCTTGTCATTTCCCTATATTTCACGTAAACCTGTCCTAGAAATCCATTTCGGAAAAATAAATTAACCAAATGTAGGTCTCTATTGTACTCATGAAAAAAAAAAACATTTCCAACCTACTGACTTCCAAGAAATTACTCTTTCGTGTTTTAATATGCAAAGTTATAAAATGCGTGTAACAGAGAGAGTAAAAATTGCATGATACGTTTCATAAATTACCATTTATAGACCCTCCAAGAAGAACTGACCGGAGCTGTTTTCCACCCTCTTGACGACAATCTCATGATAACCCACGGCAAAGGGCATTTGACGTTTTGGAATCGACGCAAAGATGGATTCTTCGAACGTACTGATATTATCAAGCCTGTGAGTCACTTTGAACTCTCCAAAAATCCAGATTTATGCAAAAATTTCAGCCCTCTCGAACACTTATCACTGCACTTCAGTTTGAGCAAGACGGCGATGTCATCACCGCAGACAGTGACGGTTTCATCACCATTTACAGTGTTGATAGTGACGGTGCTTATTTTGTTCGTTTAGAATACGAGGCTCACAATAAAGGGGTTAGTTCTCTGGTGATGCTATCGGAAGGAACGCTTCTTTCCGGTGGTGACAAGGATCGGAAAATTGTCGCTTGGGATTCGCTTCAAAACTATAAGAAAATCACGGAAACTAAGGTATTCTTTCGATTTTAAATTAAGATGGACTCGAGGAATTTTGTTTCAGCTTGCCGAATCTGCTGGTGGTGTTAGATCGATTTATCCTCAACGCCCTGGGCGCAATGATGGGAATATCTACGTGGGGACCACGAAAAATAATATTTTGGAAGGGTCGCTTCAAAGGAGATTCAATCAGGTTGTTTTCGGACATGGGAGGCAGTTGTGGGGACTTGCAGTGCATCCAGATGACGAAGTTTTTGCCACAGCTGGTCATGATAAGAATATTGCCTTGTGGAGGAAGAATAAATTTATTTGGACTCTACAAGTAATTATTTTTTTTACTAAAAAACGTAATTTTTTAAAACTTCACATTTAAAATATTTTGAAAAAATAGAAAAATAGCAAGTTGGACGAGTGTTTCTTTGTTTTTCTAGGACTAAAAACTGAAAAAGAATTACCAGTTTTTTAGAATTCAAACTTATTCTGTTTATGTTTGCTTATAAAAATATTCCATTTCAGTCTTTTACAAATTTTTAAAAAGCAATATAGAGATGACGAATCTTGAGAAAAACTTATTTTGATTTTTTTTACTAAAAGGCGTGATTTTTTCCCAAATATTTTAAATATTATGTTGTGATCCTAGAAATAAACTTTCAGATATTAACATATTTAAATTTTTTTGAAAAAACAGAAAAATAGCAAGTTGAACGAGTTTTTCTTTCTTTTTCTAGAACTAAAAATTGAAAAAGAATTACCAGTTTTTTAGAATTCTAACCTTTTTTATCTCGGAAACTTATTCTGTTTATGTTTGCTTAAAAAAATATTCAATTTCAGTCTTTTATAAAATTTCAAAAACCAATATAGTGATGACGAATTTCCGATTTCAGGAAGGGATTAAAATCTATTTATTTTTGATATTCATTAGGATATTAATTAAAAAATAGTTTTTCAAGACCATGTTCTTGAGTGAGTTTTCTATTTGCTAACATAAAAGAGCTTTACATCTTAAGAAATAAATCAAGAATATTATTCGTCAAAATTATTCCCTATTCGCGGAAAATTACAAAAATTTCGACTAAAATTAAACTCACAATCAATGTTAGGATTTTGATATACGATAAAATTTTGCTTTTTAATATCTTTATATTGTTTCTTCAAAATTCTAAACATCTTATGAAACAATATTAGAATCCTGAGAGAAATAAAAGACCTTGACATGACAAGTTTGTCTGAGTTTCTTTCAAAATTGTTATTAAAAAATTTACAATTGTTTGTAGGTCGCTTTTGAATGCATTTCTCTAAGTTTCCATCCCTTCGGCGTCGCTTTAGCCGCCGGTAGTACCGAAGGTCATCTTATAATCATCAACACTGAAACTGGTACCCTTATTAACACCATTCGAGTTTGTGGTTCACCCCTCAGCTGTGTTGGCTACAACCCTAGTAAAATATATACTTATCTGAATTTACAGATTCCTCTAATCCAATTTTTCAGCCGGAGATATGATCGCAATAGCGTCACAAAACGGAAGTATCTATTTGTTTAGAGTGAGTCGAGACGGATTTTCTTACAAAAAATCGAACAAAATCAGAGGCTCGCAACCTCTCATCCAAATGGACTGGAGTACGGATAGCAATTTCTTGCAAACAGTCACTGCCGATTACGATTTATGTTTCTGTAAGTGTTTTTACACAAAATTGTACAATTTTTCAACTAAATAAAACTCCAGGGGACGTCAAATCTTTATCACCGGAAAAGAGTCCGATTGCGATGAAAGACGTCAAATGGTACACCCAAAATTCAACAGTTGGCTTTTTGGTCGCCGGTAAGTTCTTGCTACAATTCTAGATATTATAAAATTGACAAAAATCGGCTTGTAGGTATTTGGAACAACCGTTTCTACCCTATGACTTCCATCATCAGTACCGTGAGCCGATCCGCAGCCCATGATTTACTGATTTCAGGCGACACTGATGGCTATATCCGACTTTTCAGGTACCCATGAAAACATCACGTGGTTTTTTCACCACCAATTCTTTTCCAGATACCCATGCTTGAGTCCTAAAGCCGAATACAACGAAGAAAAAGTGTACAGTGGTCAAGTCGCCTGTGCTCGATTCTTATTCAACGATAGAAATTTGGTAACAGTTGGTGGCACTGACGCTGCCCTCATGCTGTGGGAATTGACAGAAGAATAGCAAAAAGCGTCTTTTTTGTACTTGCCTTCGATAGTTAGACGTTATGATGATAATGAAGATTCAGATTTCGATTCGTCTTTCGAAAACTCTTTTGAAGTTCTCAACATTACATACTGAAGAGCACACATATCTTCACATAGATCTAAATTTAGACCAAATAAGTTTTAATCAGGTGTTATTATGCTCTTAGTTAAAGAATTATATTTATAAATTAGTACCGAAATGTGGATGAGAACATAAAGTGATACAATACCTCAATTGCATTGTTAGAAAAGCTTTAACAATAAAAATGGGCGATACGAAACATTTCACCTTTTGTTGAATTAGTATAATTATTTATCTAGTTATAAATACACCTGGAAACTGCCAATAGGTATAGAATTTATTATAATGAATACTAAATGTAGAAAAACAAAGCAATGCATGGTAGCTTCAAATATTAACCTAAAATCCTTTTTAATATTAATAAATTCATTGTTATCGTTAATTTTAAATTGTTTATTATAGTTTGAAAATAAATTTAATAAAGAATAAAGTGTACGGTATAGTTTTTATCTTTATTTTTCTTCAACTGTAACATCAACTGTGGTTTTTTACTTACTTTTCTGTTTATTATTAATCTACAAATAAATAAATGTCCCAGATCTTAAAGAAAAATTTAATACTTGCATATACATATGTACATAAGCCAAACAATCGAACATTAAAAAAGTCAACGATTTGTACAAAATCAAGTACGAAATGTCCAAGCTTCTAACACTTTTTAAGTATTATCCCCCGAAACATCCTTCCTCTCACTCTGACTCTTCTCCCCCAAATCCTCTTTATTCAAATCATCTTCGATCTGCTTATTAACTTCGCAATTCACTTCGGAATTGCCACAATATCTATTCAGAATATTCGTATAATAAATATGTTCCGACTTCTCGACTAGCGGCTGCGTCTGAGATTCGTACCTTTCAGTCTTTAATAATTTCTGATAGAGAGGATCATCATTGTTTGGCGTGATGCTATTATTTGGTGTTGCCTCGATTCGTTCGCTCGGAAACATCGTACTTTTTGTAAAAATCTGAATTGGCCTTCGGAAACCTTTCGAATGGTTGTAGGGAAAACCTAGAATTTCACTCTTAGCGAAACCCACCACTGAAGACAGCAGGTATTCGGTGAATTTCTCCGGGAAAAATTCGATCGAATTGTAATTCTTGAAAGTCGTTTCCTGTGAAACACAAAACTCCAGTTAAATATCAAAGAAAAAAAATGACAAGAACCTACCGTCAATTTTCGCTTAGATTTATAACTTGCCCAGTTCTGAGGTTCAAGAATTAATTTCCCTCCCGGCTTCAACTGGGCATACATCCTCCTAAAAGCCTGTTTTAGCCCCGAATCCCCCCAGTTCAAGTGAATCCATTTCGTGATGCTCAGGCATAAAATAACATCAAATTGCGGCTGCTCGAGAGCCAGGAGTGAATCATCCTCCAAAATATAATTACACTAAAAATCACAAATCGATTATTTATTACTTATTTTTTAAATCCATCAACAATTACCGTTTTAAAAACGACATTATTTGGAAAATCGCGTCCGGTTTGCCCGTCATTAAAGCCTGGAATGTCAATGGGTCCATATAATATGGGCATAGAAATAGGGAAAAACTCACTACTTTTCTTATTCGTCGGTACTTCACCGACCCTCTCAGATTTCGGCGAATCTGAATTTTTAACGTAATATTTTACGTTCTTTCTTGCTATTGAAACTAATTTCGGATCTATGTCTATGCCTGTCACACTTTTAGCACCGAAATCGCGAGCTACGGACAACGTTACGTGACCCACGTTACAACCTATGTCTAGTATGTCTTTCCCTTCGAATAAATAGCGATGTTGGTGAAAGAGTCTCAGTCTGTTGTCCACTTCACTGTGGGGATTGCGATACCCGTAGTACCTGAAAAAATACGATTAGAACCAACGAAAACTTTATCCAAAACGAGGGGCAAACAACTGGGGATTTACGGGGTTTTTAGGGAATTTCTAAAGATACGAAGACATTTTACGAAGAAATTTTTTTAAAACTTGTGACCAGATGAGATATAACACAAGGCGACAAAAAAAAAAGTCATGTCGTGACAACTTGACAAATTTTATATGATTTTGTTCGTCTCAGTAAGATAAATCAAATGCACTAAAAAAAACTTCAAAAAGTCCGCACACTTTAAACAAAATAATTTTTTCCAATTTAAATGATTTTAAAATACTTTAACTTTAAAAATCATTACTCAATAACTATTAGGCCGATTTCCTTCAAATAAAGACTATTCTAAAGGAATTGAATTGCTCTTTAGAATGATATGCAATTTGAAATTGAATATTGGCAAACTTTTTTTCGAACAGTGTTCGAAGAAGTTCGAAGTAAATCGCAGTAGTCTAAGAAAAACCCTACGAGTAATTTTTTTTTCTCTTCGTCACCATCGTGAAGAGCATCTTTTTATTAGTAAGAATCGAAATTTTTAAAATAATATACCGACTAGTTTTCAAGATATGATTTTTTGAAGATAAAGTTTGCTATTCAGGTGTTGCGCCATATAGGAGAAATGCATGTTAATCTTACTTAAAATTGCATTTTTATAAAAGTATTTGTTTTAAGGCTCTTCTTTTGCATAAAAATGGTCAATTGCGTCTTCTTTGTTCTAATTACAATAAACAAAATCTGTTTCTTTACTTAAAACAAATAAAGAGTACCTGCGTATTAATTAAAGCAAATAAAGAGTTTTTTTGTTGTAAAAATGATCACTGATCATTGAGCAAAAAGCAGTAGCATTAAATATAAGAAAAAATCTTTTTCAAATTAAATGACTTTCCATTCAGATTCCAACTTGTTCACTTTGTTCTAGCTTTCTGAACTTTTTTTTGAAAATGTTCTCAGCAAATGTTTTCTCAACACTTTCTACTGGTGTTGAATGCAATAAGTCAGTTGCTTCATGTGCAACTGTTATCACAACAAGCTAACTGAAGCTAATCGTAGAATGTACCAACAAAATAAATTAGGTGACTTATTGCATTTAACATCACTCGAAAGTGATGAGAAAGCATTTGCTTAGAACATTTTCAGCAAAAGTTCAGAAAGATAGAACAAAGTGAACAAGTCAAAATCTGAATGGAAAGTGGTTTGATTTGAAAAAGATTTGCCCTTATATTTAAGGCTCGTGCCTTAACTTCTAGATCCTCTTTGCTCAATGATCAGTGGTCATTTTTACAACAAAAAAACTCTTTATTTGCTTTAATTAATATGCAGGTACTCTTTATTTGTTTTAAGTAAACAAACAGTTTTTGTTTATTGTAATTAGAACAAAGAAGATGCAATTGATCATTTTCTCCTATATACATGAATAGCAAACTTTAACTTCATATCATATCTTGAAAACTACTCGGTATATTATTTTAAAAATTTCGATTCTTACTAATAAAAAGATGCTCTACACGATGGTGACGAAGAAAAAAAATACTCGTAGGGTCACTGTTCGAAAAAAAGTTTGCCTATATTCAATTTCAAATTTTATATCATTCTAAAGGGCAAGGCCATCCCTTTAGAATGGTCTTTATTTGAAGAAAATCGGCCTAATAGTTATTGAGTAATGATTTTTTAAAGTTAAAGTATTTTAAATTCATTTAAATTAGAAAAAAAATATTTTGTTCAAAGTGTGTGGACTTTTTAAATTTTTTTTAGTGCATTTGATTTGTCTTACTGAGACGAACAAAATGATATAAAATTTGTCAAGTTGTCACGACATGACTTTTTTTTGTCGCCTTGTGTAATCAGAATTTTAGAGATATGTAAGGATTTCTGAAATTTTTTCAGGGATAATTACGATTTTTTTCAAAACTTATTTTCGTGCATTCAGAAGTTTTAACATTTTAAATGTTTTTGGAATTAGAACTTTTGGATTTTTTCTGTATTTAAACAATGTTGTAAGTTGTTACAAAATGCTCTAAAATTAAAAAAAAAGATTCTCTAGGTTTTCTGTTTTTCTATGGTTTTTTATTGAATTTCTTTATAAATGTATTTAGTTGTACCAATTTCTCATATTTTTTGTTTAATTTCCCTAATGTTTACTTCTCGCTCCCTCTTACCTATTATAATTCCCATACTGATATTGCCTATCCTTCTCCTTAAACTGGGGCATCGCCTCACTGGTATCCCTCTTCTCCCTCGGTCTCTTCTTATGATTCGACCTCTTCAACCACGTCCCTGGTTGTGGCACCACCGGACTCACAATCTTATCCATCGAATACTTAAACTTCTTCGCTTGTGTCCCCCCGTGCTCCTCCACTTTCCTCTTCGACTTCTCCTTCTTTGGCGACAATTCGAGACTGAGATCTTTTTCGACGACTACTTCAACGGGAATTTTCGCCGAATCCGTGGACGTTTCTGGAGTTCTTGCTTCCAAATCCCCCTCGGACGCTGACACCGTTCTTCTTTTCTTCAACCGTTTCTTCCTCCCTTTCTTCACGGGAGAACACAACTGTTGCTCGTACTCCGCATCATCGGCGCATCCAATCAAATTCAAAGGATCGTTGATGTTAGGGGGGATGATCACCTCGATCTGTCCCTTCCTCCTCGGTGGAGTTGGGATGGGGGAAGATTTGGGGGTGATTGCGTTCATGGCTCGATTTATATCCTCGTCTTGGAGACTGTTGAGGTTGAGAGGGTCGTTGATGTTACCCCCGAGGAGGAATTTGGTAGGGGGGACCGGTTTCATGTCCATCATCAGGCCACAACCGGAGAAACTTTTCGATCTTTTGCGACCGGAACGGTCATGTTTCGACTTGCGTTTCGAGTTAGTGTTGTTGTGATGGGGGCGGTAATTGTGGGGTTTTGATGGGGGTTCAAGTACCATACCGGTCGATGACATTTTTCCTAAGCAAATATGGCGTTAGATATTGCCTGGTTGGCCGTGACAAAAGATGCTCAATTGTCACAGACCGGTTGTTCAACCAAAATAAACAAAAACCGCTGTTCTAAATGCACTTTTCTAAATATATTGTAGGTCATGGTCTGATTGGATAAATCGCGTTACAAAATTAATTAAATCACAAAGACCGTGCGTTTCTTTGTGTTTCGGATGAGTAAACTTTCTATTTTAACATCATCCATGAAAATATTTACAGTTTTCAAGTAATGCTCCTAAATTAAAAGAGAAAGTTTCGACTCCGGAAAAACAGTTTTCAGTTGAAAAAATTGAATTATTGTCCACTACAATTAAAATCGCGTGATTGTTTTTTTGTGAAAATACATAATTCAGGAGAGTTTATTTACAATGCAGCTGAAAAATTCCACAAACAAGATGTCGAGATAAAAGTTACGTCAAGACAACACAAAGAGGTTTTACGATGTTTACTTTCTTACTAGCCCATCTACTGAAATTATTAAATTTGTCGATATTATTTTGTATAAAAATAGTCTGAAATGTATATTTGCTACGTCATCATCCACCTACGTAAAACAAGAGTTAAAACTATAATTGCCAATAAATTAAAAAACGAAAATTACATATGCATAATGTCGATGCAAATTTAAAATACGACAGATTCAATTAATTTAATTAAGTAAATATTGTTTTTTTTTATTTCTATGGATCGTGAAACATGAACATTGAACGAATAATATGCGTCAGCATTGAATCATTGAAGCTTAAATTAATAAATAAAGACTGTGCTAACACACCTTGTAATTTATTTGTTGACGATTTTTAGAACACCTATATTTGGGCGGAAATACTCTGCAGTGATGACAAAAAATGATAAAACCGAAAATAGGTGAAGGTAATCTTCTTCGACTTTTTTTTAACTAAATTAAAATCCAAAAAAACTATTATTTTTCGGTTAATCACTAATTATACAATTAATGACTTTAAACCCATGTCCAAAAATGGTTGCTGACAAAAACTAAGTTTTTTTAATATGGTGTGTTAACAAAAGATTGTAAAATATTTAAGGAGGTATTAGTACGTATAGACCAAAATAAACAAAAATCTTAATAAACATGGTTTTATTAAGAGGTTTCAGAGATATCGAATGTGAAATTTTTTAGATATTTTACTCTTTTTTGTTTTGTTTAAACAGATTGCAAATGTTTCAAAAATTTTAAAAAACGAATAATCGATATTTCCGAAACCGTTACTTTGCGAACTCATGTTTATTAGAACTTTTTTGTTTGTTTTGGTCCATATTTTTACTTCCTGAAATACTTTACAATCTTTTTTAACACCCTGTATAAGGTCGAATTATCGCTCTAGATCCCTTAGGAAGTATTTCTGGAAATAGGTCCATAGGATTTTTTTTCATATTTTGACGTAGAAAACCACCCGACGAAATCTTTCAACGTTTTTTTTTTCTGGACAAACTACGATGTTTTCAGAAACTGGGCCTTATAAGAGAATAATATTAACCACTGTTTTTTCCTATTTTTCAGAGGGAATCAAGCAAGTTTTAGTAAGAAAAGAATATATTTTACATTTTTTTGAAATAAACATTAATCAAGAGGTTAATTATACAGGGTGTTTCAGAACTCACGCTCCAAAGAAAAATGACAAAAAAAAACCCAGGAACATGGAAAAATGTAAAAAAAAATCCTATCTATAAAAATTTCGAAATTATGGGAGTTTAAATTTTGTACTTTGACCCTATTTATTTCTGTTGAAAAAAACAATTTACATGTTTTTTGCTACAGACTATTATAAGAAGAAACAAAGAGCTGTATCTTGAATTGTAACTATGTTCAACGTTATTTATGGCTTTTATTGGCAAAATTTTTGTGTCTTCACTGAAAAATTATGAAAAAATACAGGTGATTCTTAAATAGACCGACAAAATTTTATCAGAGCTTCTCAAGGATAAATGGAGACAATTTGTACCCTTTTTACGTTTTTATCTTTTAGGGGCAGAACGCCCTTGATACGTGCCACTTACGGCGTTTATGAATTGTTGCAATGATCAGGTACATTTTCATGAAATTAATACTACACTACGAAGATATCAGTGGCGTACGCTTTACCTCGAAAATAAATTGAATAAATTTTATTTGGAGAACGGTTGAACAAATAATTTTTTTAATATTTTTTCCAGCATGTTCTCGTTTAATACTACCAAGGATAAAATTTTGTAGGTCCATTTAAGAATCATCCTGTACCTATATACAAGTCAAAAGTCAAATGTCTGAATTTTTTAAACATCCTTTCTATGTTCCTAGTATCTTATTTGGCATTTTTCTCTGTAGAGCGAGTTGTGAAACACCTGTATCGTGGTTTATTCTAATCAACACCCTTTATAAGTCTCATCTTGACCAAAAATATTCAAAAATAAGTCAGTACAATTTTAAAGCTTAGCTAAATTTTGAAATAAATATTTACTTAACATAAAAAATTTCAATCTAACCAAGTTATAACATGTTGGCATCGAAGTAATCATATATGCTATGATTTATAAGATTTTTATCATGAAGTATGTAATAATAAATAAGCCACACGCAATAATCAACGATAAAAGATTCTTATTACTGAAAAAAAAAAAAAAACAAAACGCCATTGTGTATACTTACAAAGTTGCATATTTTTTTTTCAAAAATCCAAATCATAAATTGTCAGGTATGTTCACAGTATTCATAAATGTTAATAACATCAAGAACGTTTTCTATAATTGACTTGATTGTACACATTTATCTTTTATGGACACTTTATATTTGCATAAGTTGCTGCATGTTTTGAAATTTTGCGGTTGTAATTTTATTATTTTTTATTCAATGCGCTAATACAAAAACCATTCATGACCAATCATAAATACACCAAAAACTGTAATAAATTATTGTTATCGCAATCGGCATAATACAACACTTTTAAACACATCAAACGAATCAAATTAGAAATTATCATCGATTAAATTAATTTAGGTAATAAATGTAATAATAATAGTCCGGTATAAATTCCGGATGCAACGTACGATTAACGTCCGGATCCCCTCGACTCGATAACAAATCCGCAATATTGAATTTAAAACTTTCGCACAGAGCAAACTTCCGACTAAATAACCCTCTCCGAAGTTCACCTCAGCGGTGGCCCTTCTAAATTTACTAAAATTTTGAAAAAATCCGGAACCCCAAGTTCCCGCAAAAAATCGCCACTGCGCACGCGCACACCGGAACAAACATGTATGCCACTGCAGAGATCGACGTTGGCTGTCGTTTTACTCGAAAACTCGTTACAGATTACATAAATGTCAAAAATTTTACCTTCAACGTTTCCGGCGTGGCTTCAGCTTGCGTTTGATGCCCTTTCAGGGCCACTTTTCCCTTACGTTCCGCTGAAAAACGGCCGAAAACGAGACCTCGCTTTGCAACGCACCGTCAGAACGACTACAAATCGTTGTGCTTGTAAACTAGACTCCATTTTAATATCAGAGCCGGAGTAAGCCGAAGGGAAACCGATAATGGACGATGGGTGATTTAGTGAGGAGTAGTGTTGTTCCCAATTATGTAATTTTCGGGTAATTGGGGAGGTAACTGAAAGGTATTTACGGCTGATTGGGTTTTTCGACGTTTTAATACCCTCGATTAATTAATTGAAATTGATTATTTGAAAAATGTGTCAATACGGCCCTGGAGTTTTATTACTACTGCAAATAGCCATAAATTCAAACCACTTATAATTATTAGGAAATAATTAGTTTTCCCCATTGAAGGAGTGGCTGAATTCACAATTAGAAACATTCTTATGAAAATAGAAAAAGTTGTATTTATATTTTGCTGTAACACCTGCTTCCAATGCACTTTATAAATATTTTTGGACAATATATTTGTATTTTACTTTAGGATGATGTGCCAAAATTGCTTGTCTTCCGTTATAAAAAGTGTGTTATTTATTAGTCATATTTATAGGATCTAAATGTGATGTTTACTTTATTACTCCAATACGAAAATAGAGATTCAAATTATGGTGAATATTTTCAGTTGGCAACAGAATTAAGCGTATTTTTGATATTTTCTTTCTTGGTGGTTTGCAACATTGCAACCGAATTTGCTTGCCAGATATTTGTCGTAATAAAATTGTTGGTTAAGTTCCTATTTAATTTATAAATACAGTTTGAAGGGTGTATTTTTTTCTATATTTTTTTTGTGTTGCCAGTAATTATTCTTTTTTTTCAGCAATTTATAGAAAGACAATCAGTGAAAAAAAATCTTCTGAAACAGAGAAAACAGTTGTCAGTCATTATATTTTCTATACTCTGTTTCAACGTTTTTTGGAACACCTGTGAAAATAGGTGGAAAAATATATGTTCACAGAGTACTGCAATCATTTACTTAAAAGCATTCGTATTAAATGAAACACCCAAATCATTGTAAACAACAATTTTATTTAAAATTTGTCTTGAAATGTAATATTTTCTTTCCCAACGAAATTACATGTAGTACTCGGAAAAGTACTGGCTCAAAAACTCATGCTTCTATGGTAAATGTATATGTACATATACAAAAGAAAATCCAAGACGCAAAAACTATATAATTAATAATTAGAAAAAAATAATATTTTTTTAAAAATAATACAGATTTGGTACAAAATATTCGAATACATGTTTAACTTAAAGAATACAAGAAAATAAATAACATGGAAACCTAATTATCTCTCTCGATACCAGCGCCCTCTTGGTCTCCTTAACATCCTCGGTGATTTCGGCGACGCTGGCATCCTCCTCTGTCCTCTGTTTGTTCGTTTCGGTGAATTACTCCTTTTCGCCGGTTCGTTCTTATTGTCTATATGATTCTTATCAAGTTTTTGCACACGCACATACGGCTGATATTGCAAATCAATATTAAAACCGTCACTATTAACTTTATTTGTTAGTACTGAGTTCGCATCATCACTTCTATTTTCGTTTTTAACCCTGTCGGCGTTTGTTAAATCACAATTACTATCACCTATATTTACATCACTTAAACTACTTTGGTCATTTTGGTTATTATTTTCACTACAGTTCGACTTTTTCTTCTTAATACTATCAGTCGTATCGTCACATCCGTCCGAATCTGCATTCACACTCAACGAATCCACCGTGCTTTCGTCATCCTCCTTTCTCCTCATCCTCCTGCTCCTATTTAGAGGCCACCCTGTACGATTCTTTTTCCTCTTCCCCGGCTTCCGACCCGGTTTAGCGCTCACCAGTCTCTTAGGTGACTTAACAATAGTGTCTTTGTTATTCTCGTATACGTTCAAAATATCTTCCACTCCCACCTGACCCTTAAACTCGATTTCTTCATCTTTGTCGATTTCAATATCCAAAGTTTCGTCACAAGCACTAGCAAACTCCTCCTCAACCCTCTTCATCATCGAAAAATAATCAACTTTAGACTTCTTCAGTGATTTCGTCTGTTTCGGTTCTTCGAGAATCGTCGGTAGGTTTGACCGGAAGTCCAGATCGCCTCGTCGCGACTTTCGTTTCCGCTGCTGAATCAAACTACTTAAAATCGCTAGAGTTGAGGCATGTTGTCGGGGTGATTTTCGGGGATTTTTGCCATTCCCGGTCACGTTTACGACCATTCCTGGGCGTCGGCTTCGTTTATTCCGTGACGGTTTAATCTCATCCACGGTACTATTTGAACTAATTTCAGTGGCACTTATTTTACTGTCTTCGTCTTGATTGAAAGGAGTTTCAACACTTGAATTGCTTGCGTTAGGATCCGGGGTGCTGCAAGTGACCGAAGTTGACGTTGATGGGGGCTCCATAAGGCATTTTTTGATCTGGTTGTAGGTTGCTAGACACTCTTGTGGATCCAGGGGCGGTACATAGTCCAACTGGTACGGAAGAATCAACGGATCCCAATAATCTAAAAAAATCAATGATATCAAGGTTACAAAGTGAAACTAAATACGTACTGTCATCACTCAAAAAAACATATTTTTCTTCCCCCTTGTCACGCCTCTGAAACGTCTGATACCACGCCTCGTTTTTGGGCACACTCTCAAACGAAAAGTTGTAATCATCTAATCTCAGTTTACTGTCTTTTTCAGATTCGGACTCCTCCGATTCGTTTTTCACCACGCAATCTCCATTGTTTTTCGATTTCATAGGAACGGGAGAAAGGTATGAACCGTGGTACCTCAACCTTGAACCGGGAGTTTCAAACTTGTAGTATTTTTGATTATCCATTATAAAAGCCTCGGCGTGTGTTCGTCTTCTCTTCTTTTTACCCTCGGAACTTGTACTATGCATCGACTCATCATCTTCAACTTTAACTCTTCTATCGTCAGTCTCGCTGACCGAACTATTGTCATTTTTGGTCTTATCATCCTCTTCGTCTTCATCACTCGTTTCGTCTTTTTTCGGAAACAGAAAATTCTCCGCCTCGTTATTCAACCGAACGAGTTCCGAATTCCTCAACTTCCTAAATTTCACTATCAACCCTTTATCATCCTCTTTCTCAACCGGTGTTTCCGGCCGCTTGACTTCCTGAAAATGAGTAACTCCTGAACGAAGTTTCGACGATAAAACTTCGACTTTGTAATAACTTTTATTATCAACGACTAATCGTTCATCAGCCGAAATCCTCGTTCGGTTGCAGGCTCGTTTCGGCCGGCCCGAATTCCACACTTCGTCATTTTCGACCATTTGATCGGCTAGTTTCTACAAAATTAACATTAAAACAACTTCAATAAACTCAACGAGAAATTTAATTACGGCCAAAAGACGAGAACTAGATCTTAATTCGCGATATTCCTTCACGACTTCGGGCTTCTCTGTTAGACTGTCGTCTTCAAGAGGTGGCGTCATGTAATTTATATTTTTTCTTGAACGTAAATGGTGTCCTGAGTCGCTGCCCACAGGGGACATCGGAGAGTCTTTTATTTGGTCGCACATGACGGACGAGGCGCGCGTTCGAGGCATCCTGGAGCGGCGGCGGGGCGGAGAGTAGTCGCGATTTTTCTCATTCACTTCTGAAATTTTAGGAACTTTTGTTGAACTTGAAATCAAAAGTGACTTGGTTGCCATAGCAACCTCTAAGTAGTTAGGGAATTTTGGTTTTTGTTGTTACTGATGACACTTGGTCGTCATGGTAACCATATTTTCGGAGCTTACCGATCGCGTCAATTCCATCCAAGGCCAGGAACGAATCAAAGCCTTTTATTGATATGAAATTGCCATCGTCGCCGATGAGTTTTAAATGTCTTTTGGACTGGATGTGATCCTCAAGACTGCTATAGGGTGTGTGACAAACAGCACAATAACCAGACTCGAATATAGAATGGATGCGTGGCCGTCTTGTTCTAGTCTTACGTGTCATGTTACGCTCATTTGTAGAGCGATTTGAGGAAACTTTTTCAGTTTGTTTAATACTTAACGAAGCGTCGATTAAATTATTTTTTACGGACTAGAAAAATAATACCATTAGGTTTTATCTTATCTCGTGATTTGTGATACAAACCTGCTCCAATTCGCAAAAATTGTCAAATTGTTTTTCCAATAAATTTCTGACATGCAATCTGGTTTTCTTTTCAAACATGGCATCACCAAAAATAATCTAAAAAAATACGAAAAGGTAAGTTTGAAAGTTTGATGTTGTGTAAGGAGTTACATACTGAATTACGTTGCCCATTCGAACTTTAATGTCTCCTGGAAGTTTCCGAAAATCAGTCAAGACTAAAATTGAAAAATGTATATTTTATTTGAATTTAATTATTAAATAAATGTAAGAATGAAACAAAAAGATTTGTAGTTCGAGCACTGGGTGCTAGATGTCGCTACGGCATATAATGTAATCATACATCTGGGTGTGAGAGTAGCGAATTCCGAATTCCCGCTCACTGAATCAGTGATGAGAGAGTAAAAATTGTGTGCAAAACCGGCGATGAAAGCGTCTTTGTTGCGAACAAAATGCCAAGTAAACCAGCTCTGTTTGGTCCGAAATTTAAATCCAGTTGGCGCTTATTGTATTGAAACGTTGCCAAATGTCGCGCCTCAGCGATTTAAATTGTTTTTAGCTTGGGTTCGCCCAAACGCATCTTTCCTCCAAATATGCGGCGTATTTCACGTCCGAAAACGGAAACGTCAATCGCCCGTTCCCCCTGAACCGTCTCGAGGGGGATATGCATGCCCGCGCTCTGCCCCACACAACGCCGACCCCAACTCTCCATCGCAATCGAATTAAAATGTTAACTGCGCGTTCCAACGTGTTGAAAGTGTCCAGGTTCTGGAAAGAATCTCGATTGATTTGCCCGTTTAGCGTGTGGCAACCGGCAAAAGCGCGTCCATCCGTCAATAAAGCATCCAGAATGCGCCCATCGTGGCAACGCCGCCGTCCCAGTATGGGATCGAGGGGGAGCGGCGTGTGTAAAAACAGTACAAGAGCGTAAGCGGGTCGGCCGTTTACCCATGCAGTTATGCACTCGGATCGAAACTTGACAAAAATGCTGACCACGAAACGCGACATGACAACAACGCACAAAAACAAAACCGAATCGTTGCGCAACTAACTTTCCATTTTTTCGCTCACCCCCGGGTACGGCCCTGCACTCCCCCGAATAATTTATAAATAAACCCAACCTAACCTAATCATTGTTGGGCCACTCTATCCACCCAGACACTGCCACTTAATAATTGGGACACTTATGTAAACACCCATCAAAACGTCAAAAGTACGCACTCCGCGAAACAAAACACGATCGGCCCACTGAATTCTACCGCTCAAACACAGCCCCCCAGCAACACAGGCCACCGAATGCTTATTTCGACACAAAAACGGAGAAATCCGTCGATTTGGGGCGCTGACACGGCAAGAATCCGCAGCGAGAGACCAGTTTAAGTGCGGTTTCGTCGCCAACTGGGTTTGCAGAGCTGCGGCTCAAACAACGGCCATTATCGTACGCTTGCTTCTACACGCCCTGCAACGGGTTTTCGCTCACCTTTTCCCTCATTTTAAACGACTTATAGCTTGACGGACGCTCCAAGCTCTTCAATGCACATGTACACACTTTTTTCAATAGACACAAACTAAAAACGCGAATTACCTCAATTTCAAAACATTTGGGAATCCGCCACAATGAAGTTTTGCAATTAACCAATCACAACCCGCGACGATAGCGCCACAATCGGACAATTAAAGAAACAAGTCGCGCGCCGAAATTCAAACCCCGACATAATTTCTCATTTTAAATACCAATGAGTCAGTTTTGCGTGGTTCTGTAGTCGTCTCAAACTTCGCATATGTGATTCATAGAAAAAGAACCGATTTGAAAGCGTCGGCTCCGCCATATCATCATTCTAATCCGGCCTCTCAATTGAAATGGGTTTTTTCACATTTAAATTACTCAACTTGTACAATCTCTCGATAGAAATAACACATTGCTCTACAATTTCACAGCTGACTGACCTTGTCCACTTTTCTTTTGCCTCCACTTACCGTAACTCGCTAGATATACATTTCCAACAATTACATTTTTTTAATTTTGAGCACATTGTATATAAAGTCGTGACGATAGAACCAAGGGAATTACATTCTGCAACCATTTTTGTGTAAACAGGAAAATAACCTTGCCTAGAGCACTATTTGTCTAATCGAGAAAGTAAAAATTAATTAATTAGTGGATCTAAATTATGGTCTAATTTCAAAGAAAGTATTATGCAACCAGCAATACACATAGAAAACACTATTTTCGGGCTATGCCCTCGTCAGTGCACTTTTTCGGGCTCTTATTTACGTAAGTAACTATTATCTACTGTACTATTCGTTTAAGATGCCATAACGTAATCACTTAAAGCTGATTATCGCATTAAATTAATTAATGTAATTTTATTAAAACTAAGACAGTTAATTACCTCATGCATTACAACAATGATAACCAATACAAAGAGACGTGTTCCTATATAAACTCATTCCTTGTAAACATTAATAATAATGTTTTACACCTTTTCAAACTAACACCCGATGTGGTTAATTATTGATTACCAAAATTTAATTCAAAACGTCATAAAAAAAATTAATTAAATTTAGGCAGTCGTAGATTTGTACGTATAGAATAGACGTTTTATAATACTCTCACTCTTAGACAAACTCGGACTATCGCCCTCGTCAGTGCAATTTTTTGCGCTCTTATTGGCTTCTCTATCTTACTTGTTACGTAAATTATTATTACGACACACAAATGAGAAACAATAAAATGGGAATCTGTAATGAAAAGCCTTGTAAAAAATAAAATTGTCTTTATAGTAGGCAAAAAAATGTCATATGTTACATTATAAATAACTAATACATAAAAATAAGATATTTATATTCCAGGTTTATGGTAAATTACACCAAATCTAGGTATAACATCTAGCGCATATAAATTGGAAAATGGCAAATAATAATAAGTTCACTATAAGATCTCAAAACGACTAAACTATTCCATCACAAAACGGTTATATTAACCTAAACCTTGGTACATCACATCAAATATTCATTAATTATAATAGGCACCCTGATTCAGTCGATCTGCATTAGTCGCACTATTGCTTCAAGTTTTACGTGACTTAAATCGGAACTTTTCCTCCAATTCGCCAGGAACCTTAAAAGAATTTCATTACTAAGTTGCTATAAACTACAAGTAGGCAAAAGAAGCACAGGAAGCGTACAGACAGTGTGCTAACAAATCTACCAAAATTTACACAACACACTGTGTATTTGAAGTCTAGTCTAACTAATCTAAGACTTGTTATTGTGCTGAGTTAGAGTGACACCAGTTGGGCGTTTTGTCCCCGTTCCTGAAACAGTTTCGGTTCACAGTCACATGCAGGAAGATGTTAGAGCAAAGCAGCAACAAGCAAAAAACTAAATTAAATTTACCTTTGGCTTGTCTCGGTGAGTATCGACCGCATCGATGGACAGTTTTATGTGCTCCACCCGACACCCGTACGCCACTGGAGTCAATTTGATTATAGTGTGAAGAGGAACACGTAGATAAGGCAATTCATCTAAAAAAATCAATCAAAAAAAATCGGATAAAACTCAACCCGAATTACCAGCAGATTTATCCAGGAAATACGCCAACAAACAACGCAAAACAGCCTGATGGGACACCACCAACACATTCCCCTGTCTCTCCAGCTCCATTATCACAGGTTCAAGCCTCCCAACGAGGTCCTCGTAACTCTCACCACGGGGATACCGGTAGGCGAACTTGTTTTGATCCCGAGAGGCAAACTCCTCCGGGAATTTCTCTTTAATCTCCTCATAAGTCATTTCCTCACACACGCCCTTCAAAAATCAATTAGAACAATCAATTGAGAGGTGGGATGTGACCTACAGCATCAATTTCGTTGAGGGACTTCCACCTTTCCTGAGGGACGTTTATTCCAGCGGCTGTCTGGATCGAGCGTTTGAGCCACGAAGTCCACACTCGGAGCCCTTCAATGTGCTGCTCTTGAATGTACTTGGACAAGGCTGAGGCGTATTGCCGGCCTCTGGGACTCAAGTTTGAGTCGCCTCCAATCCGGCCTACCAGATTTTGCTCGCTTTCGCCGTGCTAAAATTACAAATTAACCCAAATTTAAAATAAAACATCGAGAGGTACCCTTGTTAGGTAGATAGTTCGAGGGGTAATATGGATGTTCATGAGATAGTACACAATTCTCGCTTGGATGTGCCCTTCGTGTTTATGTACCAGACACTTCTCTCCCGTGTTGTAGATTTTCATAAAAGAAACATTTTTTTCCTTCTCTTCATCCAACGGTTGATACCGTTCTTGATAATGTTGGATTCGCAAGAGGAAATCTTCCAAAACCGCGTCTTTGTTCATATTGATGTAATCAGGACTGCTGACTTTCACTTCTTTGATGTTTTGCTCGATTATTTGGGGATCATCACAAATCGATTCAACGAAAAATAGTTTGTAGCCCATTTTATCAACAACGTATTCCTGGATCAGTCTTCTTCGTTCTATTGTTGAGTTGGTGGCGTCAAACACGGCGACTTCGCCCCCGGATTCCAGCCATTTGCACACGTCTTGGAGGGCTTCTCTGGCACATTGTTGACGCAAAGCCATGGCTTCTTGGTTATCGGGGCGGAAAAAATCGTGGTTTTTGTAGGCGGTAGTCGCATGACGGCGATATTCACCCAAATTGAACACTGGAAGTATTTTTTATATCAACTTTTCACTGAGGTTTTAATAAGATTGAGACTACATATTGTATTTACGAGTTTTTTAGAAAAATAATTTAATCGTACCTGGTTAAGAAAACCACTTTTGGCCACCATAAACTTACAAATTTTCGACAAGGTTAAAGTATTTAAGAATAAACGGTAAAACAATAGCACTAGTATAATGACTAATAAAAATTCAAGTTAAATTTAAAAATTTAAGGTAATGACATTTGTTAAAAATTACATTAAATTTTTCCATAGCTATTTTGATTTATGAGTAAAACATTGACTACGTTTACACAGTTTTTAAACTGTTCAAACAAATTCTTCACTTTGGGATGTAAAAAATGTCATTAATGTTGAAATGAAGATATCGAATTACGATTATGGCATTCCTAAAATATGTAATGGCAACCACCATACTCCTAAATTCGTTCTTTTTAGGGGCGTTAAAAAAACCTGTGTAGACATTGTCGACATTTATGCTGTAAATCACTCCTGCCATGCATAATGTCATTTTTGACAAACGTCAATTTTTTACTAAATTTTTGTCGCTATTTGCAACGTTTAGTTAGTGTTTTTAACTTTAATTTTATACTGTAGAAGCAGCATAAATTACAGGTGATTTAGGATACATTACACATTATAAATTGTAAAGTCAAGGGGGCTAAAAGTGCACTTTTGGGTCATCGATTCAGGTACAATAATAGAATATTTCAAATACTTTAAGCAAATACCTTTGGTATTTATGCCAATCCAGTTTAGGTACCGAGACAGCTTCTTGGAGATGTAGGTTTTTCCTCGGGCGGGGAGGCCCACCATGGCGATGACGTGGGGGCTGTTGACATAATTGGCTCTTTCACCTATAAGAAAACGTGTTTGAGTCAAAACTCGCTTATTGTGAATTAGAGTTGTGTTTAGTTAGTTTGATCTTTGAAAAAATACCTATGTGGAGCGAAACGGCCCTTTGGAATTGCGAGCGACGCCTTTCAAGCATTGTTTCAACACAAACAACTCGAGTAAACATTCACGTCACAAGATATAATTGATAAGAACACATCTCAATCTCGTGTCGGAGCGCGGATTAATTTAACTCAACATTGCTTAATTTTTTTTTCTATTGACATTATTTGTGGTGCTTATAAATAGAAAAGACCGCCACGTGGTACCACCTTTCAGTGGGAGATAATAATGAAAAAATCTTGGAGTTGACTGGACTTTGATTTAAGTACGTCATGCGCAAGGAGTGGCTTCCAAAAATCAAAGTCCTCGCTTAATTAGACACCTAATTTGAATTTAATTTGGTGCATGTACCTCCAATCCAATGAAATACAGGTATGTGAAGCATCTTGGCCTAATTGGATAAGTAACAAGAAAGAAGTGGGGAAGGTTAAATCAACTTAAGTCATTAGGCAACCAAAAAAACATTCAATTTCGTAAACTTCCAACAAAGCAAAAAACATACCTGGACTTTCACAGTTATTCATATTTTTTTTCGAGATGTTGGAGAAATTGTGGTTGTTGTGCGCCATTGTTGGTGAAAATCTCGTAGTTAGATAAGCGGATTTAACGGTTTTATGGTGTTTGCGATAGGCGTAGTGGTGACACGAATGCGGCCTTTCTAAATACCGATGCAAATTTTTGATACGCGCATGAATTATTATCAAATATGTTTAGTTGGTTGCCGAACTACTTGCGCAATTTTAGGATGTTTTCCCAATTTACAAATAATTTATACTACAAATAATTTATAATTTATGACTTG